AATGCGCGTGCAACGGCATTGTGACGTCACAATCAAACTATCAAAAACAACGTTGTAAACAATGGTTGCAACGGCCGCAGCGATCTACGTATCTGAACAGAAAAACAATTATTTAAACCAATTTCAGGATTATTTCAAACATTTGGACGTCTTACACATAGCAAGATTCGGAAAGGAAAACACGGATGTAACAAACAGTAATTTGGAGATTTTTTTATTCTCAGCAATGGAAGATTACAAATGAAAATGGTGTCGTCATACAGCCTTCAATGTCTTATTCCCGACTATATAATAAAACAATTATGGACTCTTTTGGTGTTGAATATGGTTTAATTGTTATTCACCAGAAAAATATCCATATTGACCTCGGCTTCGCCTCGGTCAATATGAATATTTTTCTGGTGAATAACAAACCATATTCAACACCAAAAGAGTCCATAATTGTATAATATGTTAAAAGAGAACAAAAAGTAAATCAATGTCAAAATATGAAAATATTGAAACCTGGAAAGAAATTGTAAATTAAAAGAATATATCAATTTTCAAATATATAGATATTTTATTTCAAAATAACCTCTTTATGTTCTGTTCTTAGAAAAAAATTCAGATGTTTTAAATATTTTACATCAGTTGTTTACATTTTGAATTGTCTTTAAATTAAAAGAAATATGAATTTTTAAAAAAGTAAAGTAAAATAAATCACACCACAAAATAAAATATAACAGAATTTTTATTTGAATTTTAACTACGAAAAAATCTCAGTCTGGTTAAGTGAACTGAAAATCTTTTATCATCTCCAAGCTTCTATAGGTATTTTATGTAATTTTACATTTCATTGCCAGTTGAATCTGTTGACTAAAAATTTCCATTGCCTCTCTGTTCAAACTAATCCCATCTTTAGCCAAATGTTTTTATTTGAATTCATTAAACCCCTACATCTCCAAAATATCACATTCTGAGAATTCCACATATTTCCTTCGTAGTGTGTTATTTATGTCAAAAACAGTAGAATTGTACTTTCCTGGATCCATGGTTCCACAAATCATTTGCCTAAACAGACTTCAGATAAATATTTTCTGAACCGAATCATTTCTTAACAGTTTTTTCAAAAATGTTTTGGATTCCTAACACTATATCTGACAGAGAAGATGAATATATATCTTTTTCTCCCACTTGCAGAAACACTTTTAAACCAGTCTTAAACCATTAAAACCCCACAATGTTCTTAAAATTGTATATTTATTATTTTTTCTAGAGTAGGGTTAGTATCAGGCAGTATTCCTCCCCCGCCAGACGGGTGCAGACCAGTGAATACTGTTTGGTGTTGTGTTAGATTAGGTTAGGTTTCAGGAACATTTTTTTTTAATGTTGCCAATTAAATTATAAATTCCTTTCTATGAAATATTTTATAATGTTATTTAATTTTATGTCAATTTCTTTCATGGTTGTAATATGTTTATACATGAACAAAAGATTGACTAGGAATAATGATATTGTATCTTTATTAAAATAAGTCTTTTTAATTTTTTTTAATTATCTTTTAATCTTTCGGTCCTTTGATTTTAATATTTATCTAGCTGTTTCAAAATTCAAATCATGGCTTTACAATTAAGGAGGCCCCCACGTGGCTAGAGCTGGGACATAAGGAAACTATATGAATATTTTCCAAGTATTACTAATTTAAAAAGTCTTTATTAATTTATCATTATTAATATTAGTATCAAAATTATCAAATTCATATTTTCCTTATTTTCCTTATGTGTGTGCTAACGCTTAAAATGAAAATTTGTATTTAAAAGCATATTACCATTTCATATCAACATTATTTAGAAAAAAGATTATATTATATTACAAAATCATTTATTTTACAATTTGATAATGAACGTCAAGAACAATTAAACATAGTCAAGGTTCACTGTATATATACACATGCCCTGCCAGAGGGGGGTTGGTCAGACTAGCTGAGAACAGGTGTTTGATCAAAAGAAGTTTATTGTCAACTTGAACCAAGTGTCAACAGCTGTGTATATATTGCATGTACACACACAGGGGTGCCTCTCTATCCCAGTACATAACAACACAACTAGCTGATGTGTAAATAATATTCTAACCATATTCTCATAACACCCACTTTACAAGTGATTGCATAAGCAATTATGCACATTTTATTCATTTTTATGTAACTTTTTTATTTCCTGGATTTGGATTCTAATAATTTCATTCTAATGGATACATATTGCTTTCTAAGATCAATGAGTATAATTTGTTCTATTACATGAACAAAAAAATGATAAAAAAAAAAAACTCCCCCAAATAAAACAGAACCCCCAAAATAAAAATTACAACAAGTAACTGGAAAATAATAATGAATGCATGAATACTGAATTTCAAATATAAATAAACAATTGGAAGAAAAAAAAACCCAAAACAAATACCTTTGAAATTTAATAAATTAACAACTTAAATCACTTTGTTCATTAATTTATGTAACTTAATTTATATTATAAATGATTGGAATTTTAAAAAAGGAACTTTATTAATTATTTTTGCCTAGTTAAATTCATTTAAAACACCCACTGTTACAGTAATCTCTATCAACATGTTAAATCTCAATGTTTTTATGTAACAGTACACATCATCTATACAAATATTTTCATATTTTCAATAATGATTTTCGATATAGAATTCTTTTTGGTAGGTACAAACCAGTGTGGATAAAAGTATTCAAGTAGGCCATGTAATATTTTCATAATTAATATTTTATTTCATTTAGGAAATATGTAAATATTTAAAGCTTCATTTATATTCTTAACTTTCCTTTCATATATTTTTTTAAAAAAAATAATATTATTCACTTTTGATCAAGATAATGGTAATGATGTAAACGACTTCAGCGATCGTGATTTTAGATCGGGCGTGGTGTACGGTATATGAAGACAAGAAGAAATGGCGCCCGACTTCTGTCGACTGTGAGGTAGAATTGGCTATAAAAATTTACGGTTATCAATATCATTCATTTTAACATCACCTTAGGGTTTTATGTACCCAATTTCATTCAATTTTATGGGGCTTCTACCACTTTATTGGGGCTTCTACCCTTCTGTATGGGTATTCTCCAAAAAACGGGGGGCTTCTGGAATTTCCAGTTACCGTTTGTTTACAAACTTGGCGGTCGTAAATTGTGTAGGTCGAGCCCGATCGTAAAAGTTACGATAGTTTTTGGATTTTTGGAGTTTAATTTACTTATTCTAATTGAAGAATGTGTTTGAAGATTACTTTCATTCAGAAAAGTTGTCTTGTATGTAGTTACTAGATTTTTCTATAGACTTTGCATTTTACGGGAAATGTCACGAGAGATTCTCCAACGTTTTCCAATGAGTCCAACAGTTTCCAACATTTACGTCATGTTATGGTATAAAAGAGAGAGATTCAAGGAATTTTTGCTCTTCTGCTAGGTTGGTTTGTTTAGAGAAGTCGTGTTTTAGGGGTAAGGAGTTAGTATGGGTTGGGCGTTTTGAATTTAGATTTAATAATGACTTTTTAGTTTTAGTTTAAGAAGAGTCAGGGTTATTTTAAGGATTTTTAGGAACTTTTGGAATATTTGTGGAATTTTATAGGAAGTTTTGGCCAAGTTTTAGTGAATTTTAACTGAGAAATTGGACTTGGTTAAAATTTGCTGGTTGTTTGAATTTTTGGTAAATTGTTGTTAAATTTTAGAATCACTTGGAATTGTTTAGGTAATTTATACAATTAGCTACGGAAGCTAGTGTATTTCTAAATTTTGCTACTGTTTTTAACTGAAATTCAGACTTAGGAAATTTGCAGGAATTACTGGTGTTTGAAATTTGTTAGGAATTAATTAGGTTTAAGGGATTAAGTTTTAGTTATTGGTTTTTACTTTCATCCAGGAGGTCTGGAAGGAAGTTCTGAGAATTAGGAGTTTTGTGAGTTGTATTGAGGTTGATTTTAGGTAAGTCAGGACTAATAGGTGACACAGACAGACTGAGACAGAGCTTAGAATTTGTTTGTTGATTGTTCATTTGAGAGATAATTCTTACAATAAATTGTAAAACTGTATTTTGTCTCATTTCAAGTACAGAGATTAACAAGGTTTTATCAGAGTGTGATTTTCCAACAAGATGGAAATTGTGGGATATAAAAGAGTAAGAACTGAGTAATGAGATAAATGAGTATTCAAGAATTTTATTGACTTCCGTAGGTCTAGGTTGTAACGAGCTTGACAAATAGAGAAGAAAAGCTGAGAGATTTCGTGTATTTATAAATTTAGTGTAACTTAGAGAGCGCGGGTTAATAAAAGGAGGTTTAGGTTTTGGGCAGTGGTGTATTATCTGAGTTCATTGTTTAAAGGGAGATAATTTAGTGTTGTGAAATAAAATTTAAAAGTATTGAGTTTTGAACCACTGTTCCATACTAGCCCTCCTGAGCTCGGGTTGAGCTGTGTAACGTAAGCCTTGCCACGAAAGATAAGACAGCCCCTATAGATAGAGTGAGGGAGTGCGGTCCCAGCAGTAGTAGGAGAGGTGCCGCCCGTTCCCCCCCCCCCCCCACCCCGTTACAGTATGTTAAATATGTTTTCTGGGTCATTCGGTCTAGTGATTTCGGAATGCCCCTTATTTATAAATAAAAACTTAAATGAGTAATGAATTGATTTCATGTTTCTGCATGCCTTTTTCGTACAACAAAAGATCATAAGAGTAAGCACAAGCAATTTTTCTCTTAAACAATTCAAATGTTCTTGGTCAATTATAAAATTATTCAGAAAATGAATAAATAAAAATAATATTAATGTATTCGATAAAAAAAGTGGAATGTACCCGTAAATGACCCAGTGGTAAAAATTAAATTTAAATGTTTGTAAACATAACCTAGATTTAAAGTAAATTGAAAGTGGATTTTCCAAACACGGGAAAGCTGAGTGATCAACATCAAAAGGGCGTAAAAAGAAAGAACCGGAATAGAAAAGCGGCAGCCTCGGACAAGGTGTGGTCTTCACAATACTAGAAGTAACTGATGCTCAACTTGGAAATCCGATTGTCTGAACAACAGCTTAGGTTTATATGATATCAAAGGAAGGAAGCAGCCTTTGGTCGAAGTATAGTTCTGGTGAGTGAAATTTGATGCATAAAATTTCACCAAATCAGAAAATTACGAAGAGCGTCATCGATGTAATATATTTGTCCAATTTGAAGATTAAAGCCCAATCTGGCGGGAAAGGTTGCCTTACTGTTCCTACTGACTAGCGGGTATCAGGTCAAGTTAACATCGGCCAGAGCAAGGTCATGTATACCGGGAGTAGAAGCTTTTATAAATGGACGTTGTATTCCTTGTACTTGTCCTAACGGCTTTGTAAGGCAAAATAAACAGGTTGGTATCCTAACATATCTAGACTAGTTCTTTGTTAACGAATCTCGAGCTATTATAGATCAAGTATACATATTCTATTGATCATATTATTTATTAAATATATAGTCTTACTCTATACTCTATATTGTCATGGTACATGTATATGTTATAATTTTATTATATGAAAACTATGTCTATGTATCTTTGTGTATATTTATGTTGATTTTGAACTTGATTTACAGACATGGATATGCAATCCTAACAAACATCTTGCATTTCAGAAGTTTTACCTATTTCCGTCACCCGGTGTGAAATCTTGAGAAAAGCCTCATTGTTATAAGTAACTCCATTATATTGTAACATCATAGTTTGTGATTAGAACTTATATATATAACTTTCATTTAAACTCAGATAAAAAGCACGAATGTTTAACATGTTATATATGTATTATTCATCTTCTACATACTACTGAAACAATCATCAATATTACTTTGATTTTCATGTTTTGCTGTTAATGTTAACAAAGCCTTAATTCTGATTTTAAAGTCTGTATTGATAAGTAAGTTATTAAAATTTTACCGAGCTGATGATGTGCCCTCTCTTTCAGTCAAATTCTGTAGGCGAGAGTGTTCCAACAGGGTGTCCAGAATGTGTCCGCTGTCCGAGAGGAACATTCAGCCAGCCCTGGACGAAGAACACCTGTATCAGCTGTTCTACACCGTGTGGCGAAATGAACAGGAAATCATTACTCGCCTGTAATGCTACAACCAACAGGAGATGTGGGGAATGTCTGAAAGGGTAATCAAGAAATGACAATTCTAGACATTTTTTCTGAGACAGGGGACTTTCTTCTATTTACGGGGATACTTTTTGATCCTTAGATTTTACATGGCTTTCCACCATGATGAAGAGTGTGTAAGCTGTAGAAATGATCGTCTCAATAGACCAGAATGTTTACAATATCGACAGATAGTTGTCTCCACCTCCTACCCAACAAGCAAGGTGCCAATAGACAGAGGACCAACGCTATCCAACAAAGATTCAGCAACCCAAAGAGAAGGTTTGTATTAAGGCTGATCATCTATCGATCAATACCGACTTAACTACGTATGTTGAGGAATAATAGAATTCAAACATTTTTATAAATTTAGGAAAATCTGAAATTCTTATCAGCGTGGTGTTGGTTCTGATGGCGGGTGCTATTATCGGTGTCATTGTGTTGATTTTTGTAAAAAGCAAGACAGGTGGTCGAGATTCCTTGGGAACAGATAAAACCCAAGGCAATCCATGGGGAAGTACCTCGACAAAACTTGGTAAATAACAATAGGATTAGTTTTTAATTAAATGAAATATGAAGGATGTCATAATCAGTACAGAAAGATTCGTTAATTCTTACATCTGTGATTTTCCCCCCACTGCTTGGTAGGCCTAACCATTATTATGTTTTTGTCTTGCAGAGGAGACGGATTTGGAAGCAGACTGTATACCTTTACAGGGTAAAACTTGTATTGTTCGTCTTCTGAAAAATATTCTAGTATGTATTCTGATATTTTTAGTGCCAGTGCTTTGCTGGTGTGTTTTTCTTGAGACAGGAAGTTTTCTTTTGCAGAAAATCTAAATGAAAATAACGGAGTCCATCTGAATGCAGCATTTGACGTTACCATCACACGTGATGACCCTTTGCTTCTGCGCGTTGCCAAGCACATTGATAATGAACCAGGGGAAATCTTTGAAGACTTAGGAATTCCTAAAAACATCTATTTCCAAACTGAGAAGAACATCCGTAGCCAGGTGGGGTCTCAGATTGCTGACGTGTACTATGGTGTATTACAAAAGTGGGTGGAAAGAAGTGGCAGGTCAGCAACAAAGCGAGTGCTGTTCAGAGCTTTCGAAAAGTTCGATATGACTTCGGTATGTCAAGTGTTGATTGATGACGCGAAAAGTTTCTGAAGATATAGAAACTATTTCACCAATAAACAGAATGATTAGTGTTTCATAGTGTATTAAATCACTTTTTAATGTTTTGGTTAAATACACGTGTCTGTAAATAGTTAATTTTTTTTCGTATTTATTTCTTAAATGAAATAGAAAAAGTTTTTGATTTGTTCTTTTTAGCTCACCTCAACGAAGCTGAGGAGAGCTTATGATATACCCTCGAAGTCGGCATGCCAAGTTACAGTTTTGGGGCAGTTTTCTTTTTAAGTATTTCTTTGCCCTAGCTTCATTAATAAGAGATGCATGAAAGATCGATGCTTCTAGCTTGTTTCACTGTGCCAGTCAATGTTTCAGATGCTGCAATTTCAGCAGAGGAATGACCAGATCAATATTTTTGGAGCAGGTTAAATTTTTGGTGCAGGTCTCATTTCTAAACTTGTAACAAAAAACCCTATGTTGGCCAAACTTGCATGTATGATACCTCTGACTAAGGATGCACTTATGGACTTGCTTCGGATGTTGCATCTGACCTACATTTTCAGGATTGTGAACAGGTTAAAATTTTTGGTGTGTGCAGGACTCATTTCCACGTAAAGATAAGCTCTAGCTACGTTGAGCAAACGTACAAGTATTATACTTTCAAAGATGCTCGCTACCAGGTTTGCTCCGGATGCTGGGTCTGACCTTAGGCTACATCTTCCGGAAGAATGAACAGATTAACGTTTTTGGAGCAAGTCTCACTTCCATGTAACTATAAGCCCTATGTTGACCAAAATTGCATGAATGATACATCTAAGGATGCATGCTAATGGACTTGCTTCGGATGCTGGGTGTCTAACCATGCATCATTTTCAGGTGATCAGGTTTGCCGTTTTAGAGGAGGTTTTGTTTTGAATAAATGTTATTGACTATATGTCAAAGGGAATGGACACAAGTTCCAAAAATTTAAAAAGTCCTCTCCCATGAATAAAATCTGAATAGCAATACAACATTTACAAGTTTTACAAAAAGTACATAGAAGAACAAAATCTGAACCTAATTTGCATGCATGATCCATCCCTCAACCTTGCTTAACGTGTTGGTTTTGTGACTAGGTTAAAGTTTTTGGTGGAGTTTAGTAACTGTATGCCCCATCTGATCAAAATTGACATAAATACATGTATTGCATCTTGGGATGCACACTGCTAAATTACTTGTTTAATAAGAGACTTTGCCTAACAAAGACAGCATTTTTGAGGTGAGCTCTGTAATCTCTGATTACCTATGTTTTTTTTAAGTGCCCAATAAATTTTTGTCCTGTATAACTTGAATAAATCATTGACAGCTGCTTTTTCAATAAAGAATCGAACTTAAAAATTTACTTACCTTGTCACTGGTCATTTGCAGAATTATTTTGTTAAAATACATTCTGATTGTACACACAGGTAGTCCGAAGTTGACTTCAAAAAAGTGCTAGAGTTTCTGATTGACAATATCTGTTTGTTTGTTGGAGACCAGGTCCTTCAACAGTCTATTGAAATTCCCATTCAGGCATTGGCACCAATTGCGCTCCGTTATTAACAGACCTATATTGTATTCATAAGAAGCAGAATTTGCCCAAAACCTTATATGTGAAAAGAAGAAAACACTGTGGCCTTCAACTCGACATTTAGATGAATCGACGACGTACTGTCAATTAACAGTGGTTATTCCCATTCTTATGACGATACGATGTATCCCGGTGAGCTTGAGATAAAAGATACCACATAGTCTCACACATATACATCTATTTCATATTTGGATATTTTAGTTGAAAAAGACGTTCATGTTAATCTAGCAACCAAGCTTTTTGACAAACGTGATGACTTTAACTTTTCAATCGTCAACTTCTTTTAATTATGCAGCAATATATCTTCATCACCTGCATACTGGATTTACTTCTCTCAGTTTATTCGATACGCAAGAGCATTCTCTACCACGTATGTAAAATTTCTAAAACGATATAAATTTTTGACGAACAGCTTTATGAAAGAAGAATATCAGAAATAAGAATATCAGCAGTCTCGTTAAGAGTCATCATTCATTATCGCCATGGTATAAGTTCTATGGTAGATACAATGACCTTGCTGACTGACGTTTTTCATACTAGTTGTTAGGCCATTATTTACACACTAAATTGTCGACGGTTTTTTTTCTGTTCTTCTCCGATCATGACAAGGAGCACACGGCGGTAGTGACCGGTTGACAGGGTATGCTCACTCCTCCACGGCACCTGATCTCACTTCTGGCCTGGGGGCCATAAAACTTAGGCGAGCTCACTTTTGATCTCAGTCTCATTTTTCCACTATTAATTCCTTGGGAAAAAAGTAAGACTTAGATCAAAAGTAAGCTCGTCTAAGTTTTATGCCCCCCACCTCAGATGTGTTAGAGGTCCGTATTTGCTCTGCTCCTTATTTGTATTGTTTAATCGACTTTTGAGCTTGAATACTGTTGGTTATCTCCACATATTTGTTGCAAATATTTGGTGACTGAAATACTAGTACCAAATTATGTGCATTCTATTTCAAAAATTTACTTCCTTCAAAATTAAAGAATTAGGAATATATAACCAATTATTTAAAATACCGGTATTGAAGCTTGAAATCATCTGATTCAATAACTCGGTTAAAGTCCAAAGCGTGATACAAAACTGATCAATTATTGTTTTTCAAACTATATTTATAGAGTTTCAATCATCGTTTTCCGTATGATAAAAATTTTTCCAAAACCAAATTTCATTTTTCAAGAATTAGTGATTTTTTTTAATTAAAAAAGGAAAACATGGAAACTGTATAGATTATATGTTAGAACTTCGTAAATAAAATACATTGAAGTTTTAAAATATCATAATTATGTAAAAATAAGAATAATTTTTTGGATATTAGATCAAATAACATTGGTAAGAAATCAAGGAAATGCCGTTTTCATACCAATGTTTTGCAAATGACTTTAGATTTACTCGATTCTTTCACCAGTAAAAGAATATGACACACGGCGGGTGCAACCGCGGTCAACAAGATATGCTTATCCCTTATAGGCACCTGGTCCTTCCTAAGTGTATAAACAGATTTTTATTGTTTGTATTTGTACTGTTGTAGTTTTTGTGTGATCAATCACTGTGAGGTGTCTTCGCCTTTCTTATTCAGTAATCTGAATCTTTCTTATGTTTGTTGTTGAAAATCTACCAAACCCTCAAAATCAACAGTGATCTATTCATTTAATTTTGGTGTAACCTACTCAAATCCTATTAGAATTGGCGCACTGAAATGAATGTGTATTTTTCATTTCTTTTTAAACCAATCTTTATTAGATATGCATGTTGAAAATGTAGTTTTACTCCTAATGCTAATCAAATTCATACCTCTTTGATGCAAGTAAAAATTTGCGACTGTCAAGATCTTTGAACTTTTATACATGTACCACTGGAGTAAGTTTTGCAAAAGAACTTGAGACTTAGATTGGACGTAAAATTTTGCAGCAATACAAATGCAATGATTTGGTTTGAAATTGCGACCATAAAAATATATATAGAACTGTAGCTCTCCGAAAAAAAATATATTGACAGACCGGAGAACTACAGTGCCACCCATTGAAAAAACTGTATATTTATTGCGCACAAAAAGTCTTATGGCTAAGATTTTGCTTGAAATCTAGCTTTTTTGCAACTTAGGTAAGAATTTGGAAATATTAATCCAGAACCAAGCGCAATTTTTTGTGCGCAATAAATATACAGTTTTTCAATGGGTGGCACGCACTGTAGCTCTCCGGTGTGTCAATATATATATTTTTTCGGAGAGCTACATTTCTGCAGCTAAAAAATATATTGTTATTACTTTCTTTTATTTTGTTAGAGTTACCCTTAAAAAATAACGATGCTAAATTTTTGTATTGAAATTCACAAACCTTTGAAAGAAACAAATAAGACGACGCATGTTTTTAAAGTTCCTTTTTAAAAGGTTAAAGCAACTTTCAAATCAAAGTAAATTAGAAAGTTTTGAGCAAGTTAAATCTTGGTTTAAGTCGTAAGTACTTTTGTAAAACGGGCCCAGATTCTTTTCAAGTTTTCTGCATTCTCAACTATCAGATACTTGTACTTGATGGATGGGATAGGATGTATTGTAAACGTAATGATACAAAATGTCACTCACGGACAATAGTCTGAATTTCAAATGTTCTCGGATATAAATCTTGGACCATGTTATGTGACAGACAGACGGAGAGATTCGCAATTTTTACCATGCAGAAATACATGTCGGTCCTCTTTGGTCATCATGGTGATGGGGGAGAGATTTTAACTGTGCTTAACTGTATATTTTCCTTCATCCTTATCTCATTTATTTTGTAAAATTCAAGAAATTAAGTTTTATTGTTACCTTTAATAATTCATCAGTACGAAGGATAGTATTCCAAAGAACATATTTGAGAAAACTGTTTTGTGGATGACGGACGCTCCAACACAATTTAGTAATACATAGTGATACCAATGACATTTAAGGGTTCCCCAAACGAAGTTGGGGGAGAGATTTTAACTGTAGGTAAAACCTTTTTAGGGTTAACTGCGGAACGAAGGTATATTGCAAGAGCGTGCACGTGCAACATGTGAAATGACCGATTTAATTGATATAGGCGTAACTTTTTACATTTTTGATGAAATCTCATAATATAAGGATATATTTGTAAAATTCAAGAAATTCACGCGCAACGTGCACTTCGCTCTGATTGGCTGAAACTAAAGTCTCTATATCTTTTTTGTTTTTTGACGAAATCCCTTGAAATTTTGAACATAGCCATACATTAGGATATCCTACAACAAGATATATAGCAATTATCATGAAAACACGTGCATGCACGTGCGCTGCAATCTGATTGGCTTAAACTTTAAATAGCTATAACTCCCTTAATTTTAAACCAAACAGGATTGGATTTGGAACATAGATAGATATAATGGACCTCTACAAGAAAGTATGGTCACCATGCACATGCATACACATGCATGTTTTGAAACTTTAAACAGCTATAATTAGTTTTCAACCAAACGGGGTGGGACGAATATAGATAGATCCAACACAATTGCACGTGAAATGAGTAAAATAAAAAATACACTTAGTATTTTTTAATAGATTAAATTCTTTAATATTTAGTATATCAAAATATGTAGATTCTGTGTACAATGACATTTAAGGTTACCTAAAATTGAATGAACTTGGTACACTTCTGGGTAAATAAGTTTGTCTTATTTAATATGGCACCAAAAGGGAGTTGGGGAGCGTTTGGGGAACATCTGTAACGGTCCCCGTTACAATTAGCACTAGTTACTCGTAACATACATATTATTAAGTAATAATGATGATCTCATTTCTAAATTTAATAGCTTGAGCTGTTGATATTTTAAAATTCAACTTCAATTCTATTTTCGTTTTCGGCTAAAAGCGTGATCAAGGCATGATCACAGTTTCATTGGACAGACAACTTCATGCAAATGAAAGAAGTGCACGTTTCCTCCACTGAAATCGCTTTATTCATTATTTGTTTGTAAACAAAGATGCGTGAACAGCGATCATAAAAACAAGTACCAAGGAATTGGTTAATTAAAATTCACAAGTATTTGAGACGGTAAGTTCTGACTAATGATATTATTTTTAATGATCAGAAAAAGAATTAAATGTATTCTCTGCTAGGAAATCGGGTTTTTCACAAAAGTTTTTGTTTCTTTGTCTGTAGGAGTCCGAAAATGGAAAGCATAAAAGTGATATTTATTATGGTGATTACACACCAGAATCATTTCAGTGAAAGCGCAAATGTCAAATGTAAAGCAGGCCTAGAGCGTCTGAACAATGGTGTCTGTGAACCTTGTCTTTGTCCCAAAGGACAAGGCCTTAATATCTCTAAGGTAAGTCAACTTTAAAAAAGTGTGTATTGTAATCAGGGGGCGGATCAAGGATTTCCAAATGGGATTTTTAAAAATTGTAAATGCAAAAATTCATTGACAAAGAGACTCGAATTTTACAAGACATGCTTAATAGAGTACCTCATCTTTAACGATATCTGCTTCTGAAAACAAGTCCAGTGACATTGCTTCGTTTTTGTTTTTGTGACAGGGTTCAGTTGACAGTCTGGCGGGAAATGCTATGTGTCAACTTTGTTTACCCTGTTCGCCTGGCCAATTTTCTGGTCCTTACACAAAATACCTGTGCGAGAAATGTTCAATGCCTTGCCACATTCAAAACAGAATCACTATTCAACATTGTGGAAGAGAGAATGATAATGTATGCGGGAAGTGTCTGACTGGGTAAGTATAGTAAATATGAAGTATCCCAATATTGCCAGAAGGCTAAAAGTATATATGCTTCGACCTGCACTGTAAGGAATGAATAAAAAAAATTGTGTACACTGTTTTGATGTTTTTAATCACTTTGAAAATTTGCAACACATCCTAATATTAAGGATATATCCTGCTGAGCCTGAAATAAAAGACACCACTTAGTCAGCTGACATCTGTTTCATATTTGGGTATTTTACTTGAAAAAAGACATTAATGGTAGCAACCAAACTCTATGATAAACTGATGACTAACTTTTCTATCGTCAACTTGACTTGCTTATGCAGCATTTATACCTTCATCACCTACATACAGAGTTAATATACTCATTACCTCAGTTGATTCGATACACAAGAGCATGTTCTACATGTACGTATGAACAATTTCTAAAACGAGGTAAATTATTGACAAACAAGTTGATGAAACAAGAATATCAGCAGTCTCGTTTAAAGTCATCATTTCATAAGTTCTGTGGTCGATACAGTGACCTTGTCAGCAAATACATTCATCATTGAGACAAATGCTGACTGACGTTTTTCATACTCATTGTGAGTTCATCATTTATACACTAAATTGACGACGGAATTTTCCGTTATTTCACTATCAAGACAAGGGACACACGGCGGGTGTGACCGATGGTCGACAAGAGATGCTCACTCTTCCATGGCACCTGATCCCACCTCTGATGTTTTTGAGGTCCGTATTTGCTCTGCTCCTATTTTGTATTGTTTTATGGACATTTGATAGTGAATGCCGTTCGTTATCAGTAGTAGCTCCATATATTTCATGTAAAGTTTGTACTTTATAACTAAATATTACTCATTTTCAAAAAAGTAAATTAAAATATTTTGACCACTAAAGCGACATGTACAGAGCTGAAAAGAGTATTTTTCGTGCTTTCAATGCTTTGTGGGCTTCTTTGTGACTAAAAGTGAAACATTTGTGACAATGAGGCTGGTATACGGGAACATGAGCAATCGTATAGGTCAACTAAAAATAAAATATGTGTATTGATGTTAATCTCCTCCTGTGAATTAGACTTCTACATTTTTACACAGGTACACGGAGACCACAGACAAAGTTTGTCACTCAATAGAGAGCCACGGAAGAAAGGTCCGACGACAACTTAAGGATGGTATGGTTTCATCATCTGACAAAGCATGTAGATTTTTCCAGATTTTTTTTTTAGGGGGGGGTCAATAAATGTATAACATTGTTAGGGTACATTGTATAGATCTATATGAATGAAATGTAGAGTTCTTCGAATTCAAAAGAGTTGTAAACTCAACTAATCTAATATTTGTGGAATAGTACTTGATCTTGTTCTTTATTAAATAACACCATCTTTAGGGATGAAAATTATCCTAGAAATAACTTTGTGTTTCAGATGATCACACCGTGTACTTTGTTTTGGCGGGAATCGGCATACCACTATGGATAATGTGTATCATCTGCTGCATTATATTTAGAAATAAAATTGGGTCTTGGAAGCAAAAATCAAAGTCCCATTGCAAACATCCAGACGCCTGCAAGATCAATATGATTCATATCAGTAAGTTATCCATCTAGTTTTGTTCCTAAATACCTAAAATGGTACTTTTTATTAATAACAAAATACCGATGATTATTTCTGATTATAGATCATATTTTTTTTATTAACAGTAAACAAAAATATAAAGGATGATCCGTTTGACCGGAAAATAGATGAAAGGACTTTAATTGGTAAGTCTCTCTCTCTCTCTTTCTCTTTCTCTCTCTCTCTCTCTCTGAATACCAGTATTATTTTACATATACTTTTATTAACTTTTAGAGCATCCAGAGTCCTGAGGAAGCCGGTAGAGACATTGTATGGTTGTAACTAAGAGTCAGGTGTAAAACATTCCATGGTGTATGACATTCATTTGTGAACATTCATGTGGAATTGTCCTATAGATCAGTGCCAAGCTTTGAGTTGAATATTTACTGCATTTTCCATCTTGCTTAAAGAAATAAATATCATGATGTCATTTTGAGAACTTGCATACAGACCATCTGCGGGTTTCTGTTTACATTGTTCAGAGTTTGTAAATAAATTTAGAGAATCTCTAGATCTCTACTATTGTAGATGAATGTATTACGGCTACATATAATTATGTCTAGCCAAAATATTATGCCAGATTATATTTTTATACATTTTTGGGGGGTGGGATGGGGTGCGCTGTGTCCAATCGCAATCACCTTTATTATAAAGTACTCAGTAGAAAATCATCATGCAATTTAGAGGAAAGGATACCGGGTTTAGATTTTTTCTTCAAGATGTTCCTACTCACCCCCTTGTCCATTAATTTTGTAATGGCCCTGTTTTATTGCTTTGTTATTATTCCATTTTTATGATCACTTTTTTAATTGCTTATTTTTGATAATTATTTTTAAATTTAGACTTTACTGTACATGTACATAATAACATTTTAAAAAAAAAAGAAGGAGAGAAAGAAACATGATTTGTAAAACTTTAAGTGAAGTTTCTGTGTGATGATAAATATATGTTGCATTTGTTATTCCTGAACCTAAGTGGGTTTTGTAATAGAAGTGTACGTGGCAAATTCAACATGGTTATTCTTTATTTGCAATAAACCCAGACTGCATGAGAGTTGTCGTTCTTTTCACGAACACTACATAGCATTGAGTAAATATATTAGAAAAAATACTTTATTCATATTTTTGATAAAATATTTTTGTTGAGCTATTTTCTATATATGTCTCAATGTACTTCTTTTACATTTGGAAATAAACTGAATAATAAATTTTATCTCTGTTGATTGTTCCTGTCCACTCTTCTATCTGTCCAGTTTCATATTTAATTGATGAATTACAGAATATATATGTAAAAATGCTTCTGAAAACTCTGACAAACTCAGTTCTTTGATCAATAAAACTCTTAAGACCACTTAAACGGAAATAGTCCAGCTTTTCTTGATCTCGAAAAATTTAAAACCGGATTTTCCATCTGAATAAAAAAGTTTTGCACAAACTATTCCTATTTCGGGAGGGGGGGGGGGCAACTAGCCTTTCAATGAACATTTCCAATAGTAAAAGAGTAATGTAGGGGGAAAAGTGGGGACCCCCCCCCCCCACGGTTGCTACGTGTCTGCATTTATTAAACAAGATTCAATACCTAAAGATGTATTAACATTTTGGTGCTGAAAATTCGTAACTTTGAGTGATAATACGCAATTTTACTTAGTTTGATTCTCGGGTTCTGAAAATTTGGATATTTGTAATTGAAAACGCTCCGGCACCAAAAATGTCTCCGAATTCCCAAAATAACATGAATTTATCCACAAAAATTCTTCAAAGTTCATATAGGAACTTATCGTATTTCAAATATTTTTTTTTGAGAAATGTGAATAAGAATTCCAGCTATGTACATTATGCAGAAAACTTTCGTTATCATTGCAAAAATCTGATTGCATATCATGTTAATTAACATTGACAAAAAGGCTGTAATTCGTTTCTGTAAAAATCTACCGGTATATTATTTCTGTTCTTTTCATTGGGAACATAGTAATATTTTTTTTTGCATATTTTTTTTTAATTTTTGTAAGACTTTGGAAACCTTGAATCCATTGAGATGCATAAAATTAAAACTAAAAGAAAAATAACAGCCTCTACCTCCATTTTGAGATTTTTTTTCAACTATTTGTTATGTTATGCAAGAGAAATAACTCCAACATCTATAATTATTTTCTCTGCATATTTATGATTGAGAATATTTTCTGAAATCGAATCAAATAAACGGAGTGAATTAAAAATAATAATATATTATATCAATATTTGAAATATTGATTTGAAATATTGACATATTTTTATAATATTAAGATATATTGCTACATCGAGTAAAAAAGTCTCTTTTATTTATATAGGTCCCTGCTTTGTTATCTCCTAGAGAAACAAAAAACCCTGTAATTGTTTTCCAAATTATTTTTTTTTCTAATATCTTTATCTTTTTATTTCATTTTTGAATATAAGAAAGTAATGTATGTATATAATGGATTTAAGCAGTGTTAAGAAAATGAGAAAGTTCTACCAATATCCTCTCTTGAACCCCAATATGTTTCGTCCAATCACAGTCCATAACACAAACCACGTGGAATTGTTTCGATCTCAAGCTTAGATTGCAATGGTAGCATGTAAAGAAACACATGAGAATATCCAACGTAAGAGTGGTTATTTGATATACACGAAGTATGGATTATTTTAGTGAAGAAAACTTTGTAGGAACTATCATTGACAATTTTATTTGATATTTTTGGTAAATTCTAGACAAAGAGACGCTGAATATATGTACAACGGCTTCAGACGTTGTTATCAGTGGATTTTGAATTGATCAAACTGGGCCGATCAAATTGTTTTGAACGGAAGTTACAGACAACCTTTTGTCGCCTGCAAGTGAATTGATTTTTTGTAGAATGGAAGGTGGAATCGAAAAAGACTGCACAGCGCTTGGTGGTTTGTTTCAAACCATCATAAGTGATATGAGGGTAAGACTAAGTGCCTGGTAAAATGTTTAGTGGCAAAAATAGACCCCTCGACCTCGTCTTTGAGGTAGCCAGATATCAGATAAGATAGATTTATGTGTAATGAGGATGTATAAAGAATCCACATGCCATAAAATGTTATGTCATACAGCAGGATCTTTGAATTTGGGCTTTTATGGTACCCCTCGAATCCCTGTGTAAATTTCATTTTACTACTTTAGTGCCATTGAAATGCTGTATTGCAAATAGGATCTTCATAGTCATATTCTACTGATTTTGATTCATTATATTCCTTAAGTCTATTATCAAAGAATAAAAAGGGGACAAGAAACTCATACCATTCCCTGATACTGCTAAAGGAAATGGCAATTATTCTGTACCCACTGTACATATGTTTTTAAATTCTTCACCTCTTCAACCTACCACATGCAATGTTCAGTTTGACTGAAAGATCAGTAATTATTTAATCCAGCTTTATTAGAACGGAGGTGTTTTGCACGTGGCAAGCTTTAAATCCTTTCATATGCACTCAGCTGGCAATAAATAAGAGTTCTAAAAACTTGGCCAAAATCTATTCCAGAAATTTGTATATATACCAAATAATATATTCGATGGAAGTCTTTGCTTTTTATTCTCATCTGTTTCTCACTATGGCCAGTCTGACAGTTGTTCTTTAGCCCCAGCAGGTAATCTCTTTACCATGTGTATAGACAGATTAGTGAGGTATCTTGTGCTTCAAAATCCCTCAAAGAGAAAGAAAACCATGAGTCAGACATTAGAACTTTAAATAGGTCAGATTAGATTAACAAGATCAATGATTGATTAATCACCAAGATTAGTTTGTAAAGCCCCTAAAAAGTAAGAGATCTAGTGAGGGGAATCGAGATGTAATACTTCTGTCCACAATAATGCTCTGTTAGGTGTTCAGCCCATCCTGTTAATATTATCATACAGTCATTTATAATATATGAACAATAATGTTTTTATATGTGATGAAATTTGTCACTTTCATTATTATTTATGAAAGAAGTTCGTATTTGCCAATCCCACAAAAACCTGGCAAAATTGTCAACCATGACTGAACATTTGCATTTTAATAAGTAGTATATTTCTTTATTCCATGGGCTTAATATTGAAAGGAAAGCTAATAAGTATTGTTATTGAAAAGTCTTAACAATGCAGTTGTACACAGCTGTTGGGATTTCTCATGTTTACAGTTATAAAGCCTTCAGAATTATAGTGAATACATGTAGAATTACTTGGAAAAACAAACTGATGATTTGCCAGCAAGCAAAACGAATGACCTGACCTTCAGGAAAGAAGACACCTATAAAAAAAGTTAACCGAACACATATTACGGGACTGATAAGTGATAACATCTCTGTCGCCAAATATAGATCAACAGAAGTCACTAGCTTGTGTAGACTGAGCGGACAGTCACTATCATATAAATTTTATTTCTGTCAACACAAATTAAGATGTGGACCTAGTGGCTTATTTCCATTAATAGTAGACCATTGTTCATGTAGACATTTTGTTGGGTATATTTAATTTTTGATTTCAACACACACCTGCACATGGAATATTGATTATGCACAATCAGCCCACAGGCCCATTGGACATGGAATCAACTGGTACATTTAAAAAGCGACAACAGTGTTTATAATTTGGCTGGTTTTAAAAAGCATCCTATTTGCTATAATATCAGTTTTTAAAAAAATCTTTACTTGAACTATGATCCAACTAATTGAGCTAAATCTTGCTTTCACGTGTAAGGAGTGTCGTTTACTTAAATTAGGAAGTGTGCTTCCTTTGGGAGCATGTTGAATAAAAGAGAAAACATCCACAAAAACAAAACAATAACATGAACAAATATTTATAAATGTATAAAATCTGTGCTGTGAAAGTGAGCTAAGGTCTTTAGTTATCCATATTTTATGGTAGTCCTCATGTAAATTACCATTTTTTATCCATCATGTTTAGCTGAAGTAAACATAGTCATTGATTTTTCCTTTTATGATGATTACATATACATAGATCTATAAATCAATCAGATATTGTATGCATAAAGGTTACATAATTTACTGTTCAAACTGCAATTTAATAACTGACTTGGAATTTTGTGGAGAGAGAAATTGCACTGTATTTTCAATCATAACTTTCAGTATAATTCATATCAATTTCACCAGTGATTTAAATGTATCATTGAGGGGGGGGGGGGGTGTTATCTGTGATGTGGGGACACCATTCCTTGCCCTGTGTCCGCCCAGTGTCGGTGTTATCTTTTGTTTACCTCTGTCCACAGACAAGTCCCTGTGTTTTCCCCACTGACTCTGATTGTAAACACTAGAGAGACTCTGATAGTCACTGTGTTTGTACACAAACTCTTAAGGCTTTGTCTGTACAGTCGAGTACAAAGGTTTCATAGCATAAGGATGATGAAAGTAGTGTTCCCAAAATCAGCAGAGCAAAGAGGAGAAATTGTGTTATTTTTGTGCATTTGCAAGTAAATGCAGGAAGCAAAAAGCAAATAGCAAATTAACTTTGCCTTTTAATCAAAAGGCATAAAAAGAACCTTTCTCTGTTTTTATAAATCTATTAATTTCTTAAAACTGCCATACCATCAAGATTTATGTAATAAAACTTGTATGTTATAAAACTCGTCTGTTATTTCAAATTCAGATATAAATGTTATGCACTACTTTCAGGCCAGCTCTGTGGTTTGGGAAGACTTCACCAGTAAAGCAGCCAAACTTCACACATCTCTCAAGTAAGAATATTACTTCTTTGTTGATAAAAATGTAAACAGATCCAATCCAAAACTACAGCTGCCAGATTGTAAATAAATTGTATAATCTGCTCCAAGTATTGAGTAAACAATTTGGACTCTTAATTTCAGAGCTACGCTGGCTGCTATAGGAGGATTTCTAGAAGCTTTTCAGAAAGTTGCTGACATGGCAACAGGGTCAAGAGGTAAGGTTAAGTTGGAAGATTAATGTAAAATAAGAGCCAGTTTTTGACAGGTTTTATGGTTGACCTTGAGATGGTTATGAGGCATCTAAAAAAGCACTACATCTAAAAATTGTAAGCAAATAAATGGCAGCCTCTGAAAGCATGGAGGAAGTTTCATTGAATGTGGCTGTTCATAGCTTTCCTGTTCAGAAGGGCTCTTAGAAATGAGTCACGGTACTGTATTCTGGGCAGCTAGAAGCATCTATTATTGGGTTTCAGATGTTGAGCTCTCCTTTGTTATAAGTTGTTTGTTGGTTTGGTGGAAAGGAAGACTTGTGTTACCACCCAGTGACTTTGTCATGCAGGACACTTACACCAAGGGGAGCAGGAAGACCACTCACAGTTAAAGGATTTATGAAATGTCAGGTTTTAAAGATGTAAAATTTAGGCCAGGAAACCAGAATAAATGAGGCAGGACCTTATCATACAAAGTAATAGGTTTTGATCATGCAACGTTCATATGGCACCTGTACTTTTATCAGTGAGGCTTCTGCTTGATTGTCACTGATGAAATAAATTTAAAGGATCAAGCAGCATAGATGTAAACAGAAAAGTACAAATGATATACAAAGGTAATTCCTAAAGATCATATGAGCTCACCTTTTGTACAACATCATGTAAAGTAACAAAAGCCAGAAAACAGCTGCACTCTAGATGATTATGACTGGGAATCTAGTTTTCTAAATTTCACTTTTTTAAAATATGAGAGAGAGGGAATTGAGAACTTTAATGTATATGTACACATATTCAATGTCTCTGCTGCCGGAACAAAGAGGGTATAAGTGGGCATTGGAAGAGGTCTGGCATGTGCTGGCACATGTTACAGGGAACACAGCACAAAATCCTGTTTCCTTGAGAGATTGGTTCCTGTTGTTAACTGCCTGTTAATGAAAGAATATTGACCCCAGCTTATTACAAAGCTTGCCCATAATTCAATGATAATATCCAGCTTTTTACAGTGCTTGATTTACAAGATTCTTAACAAGGCTCAGAAATACGAAATCATGAACAAAAACACTTTCAAGGACGTTGTTGATGCATTTCAAAGATATAGCTAATATTTTACCTTTGGTATAAAGGCAAGGAATGTGAGCGATGAGATAGTAAAGAATTGAATTGAATGTTCTGTATTATGTAAACTTGTTACACACCATGTGACAGGACTGTAAACCAATAAATATTTCTAGTTTATTTCATTTTTAATGACCTTCCTACTTTCCTGCAATCATTTTCTTGTTATTAATTTTTTTTTTTATTTGCTTCTCTGTGGACGTTGAAGTTTTTATTTGATCAAGTCAGGAAGGCACCCTCTTCACCACATGGCACTTTATCATCAGTTGTTGGTTTAGATAACTTCTCAAATAAACGAATGTTATGTAATGTGCCTATAGAAAATGCTTGGGTGGGGTCCTTTTTTCATGCAGGGTCTCATTTAGGTTTGTTTCCTCTGAAACTGTGAAATGTGATATCAAAAATTGAATGCCATACTCTAGGGATGTGCTCAGAGTCAACTTGGTGCATACCATTACTGTGATTGGGTGTAATTCCGATGTTTATTGTTTTATAACAACATACGACATTCGCTGTCAGTACAATGTATCTATACATTTAAGTACAGGGAATCGGAAGCTAACCTTGTCAGCCACATTGTGTGTTGACCCTATCGTGACCTTGAAGTAAATGTTCGTCCTGTACAGTCGGATGTTTGTACATATATTTTTCACTGTGAATGCTGGCATATCCTTGTCACTTTACATGTGACTCTACCCTTATCAGAAGTGAGGTTTCTTCTTGCTACATCTTGTTTGTTTACACCACTAATGTTTATGAGTGGGAAGGTCTAGACAATTATAACACATGCACACCTCCTAGGATATTCATTGACTCTAAGAACTCATTAATCATAATTATAAATCAGTGCTGTAATGCACTTGTCATTTACTAAGACTTTGTCTTGCCACGACTGGCTGAACTCTTTCATAATATGGAGCAGCCTTTGTGTGGCTTTGAAATCGCACACCATTTTTATTAAAACAAACTGTCAAATCCATTCTTCTCTACATGCCATGTTGTGAAGTTAAATATTCAAGGAAGATTTTTGTTAAAATTTTGATTCTTTTCTTTCACTGTACAGTGATGATATAAGAAATATATATATATAAAATGTATTTTATTACAAGAAATAATTTCCTTAATGCTTCTATTTCATGTGCAGATTTATCCTTAGTTCATACGCATTTATTTAATAATCTTGGGTGGAGTGTACTGTTAATTAAAACAGATTTTGTTTTGAGAAGGGCTGGTATAATACGATCATTGATGTCTTATTATAGTGCCATGTTTTCATTTAAAGATGAAGACTTAATTTCAAGTTCCTTTGTATGGTATTGACAGGTGCCAGTTATTCTTCATGTTTATACCGTAATCTGTGTCAATATCTGTTGTTTGGTTACACAAGAGTGCACCTACTGGAAGACATTTACCCCGGGGTAAAATTAGACGAAATGCGAGCTGTGTACTTAACTACCCATTCACAGAGTCAACCCTAACTCGGGACACTTGTGTAGTTGATATGAAAATTGGCTAAGTGGGCTAAATTTATGCTAGAATTGCTTCCAAGAAAAGAATCAATAATTGATTGCACCATGTTTAAACAAAATAATTTTGATCCTTGATTCGTATCTTTGTAAATAAGACTTTGTGGCTACATAAAGAGTTCTGTACAAATCCTAGGGTCAAGTGGTACCCTCTGTGAAGAGATAAGGACACACAGGAAACGGGCTTTAATTACCCATGGAATGACCTCAATCAATGACTAAATCCTATTATGGTTGGCTGTTAAATGCATGTTTTTATGGAATTGTCAATTGATTTTCACACTGTAACTTTAGTGTTTTGTTCATTCGTGTGGAAGGGAACCATGCGTAAGACCATAGGTAGCTCCATAGTGTTGAAATCCTGTACATTCTCTCTGATAGTCTCAGATCAATGAAGCTTGACCAATCAATTTAAACAATTACAGTTAAGATGATTTTTAAGTTAGGGTAAAGTTAAAGGAGAGTATTATTTCATTCTGTCTAAAGTAGAATGCTATGTAATCATTTGACTCCATGACTGTACTGGGCACAATAGTGGGTGTTATTGGTGTTATGCAATGCACTCAATGGTTTGGTCCACAATTCAAAGTTCTAAAGTAACAAAGTATTGTAACCAATACATAAGACCCAGTAACAAAGTCAATAGGATTGTAGAAGGTTTTTTAGTTTAGCCGACTTTTATTAGCCTGGTGTAGGTGAACATTAGGGTCTTACAGTGCAGGGGGATTTTCCAGGTCAGTTCTTGTCATATGTTACAATTACAGGAACATTCTAAAGGAATGTGCGACATGACAACACTAATTTCTTAGCCAATCGGGTTAATTATTCATGTATAACAGACGAACACATTAGAACAAAGATTGTGTTATTGAACAAATGAAGTTTTTCTGATGTTGGCCTCGGGCTACTTGTGCTCTGGTTTCTGTAGGGTCTCCACTACACCAATTTAATTAGGTATAATTAAATCAAGTACCACAACAATGCAGCATTCCTATGATTTGTAAAAGTGAGAATGGCCATCTGTATCAGATACAGAATAAAGGGGAATGGATGAACTCCGTATTGATTACATAGCTCTGCATTAGGAGGAAGATCCAAGTGGAGAGCAGTATTTTTGGTCTCTTTCTGCCTGGTTCAAGGATAGATCATCTTTTCTTAGGAAGCAATCCATCAGAACTTCTTGAAGTGAAAAACACAAGGCTGAAAAACAGTCAATAGATGCCCTGATGTAAATTTTCTGTTGAGAAAAAAATGATACTTTTGAATTTTATTCCTTCGAAGGCAGTCACACAAAGGCTTTACACAAAGAAGAACTAATTAAAGGAAAGATTTATTAGTGTATTCTTGAAGTAAAGTTGATGCTATGTGATATGTATTAAGATTCGTATTAGAAATATGATCTAGAGACGAATTGGTCTGTTTCTGATCTCGGCCTAATTAATGTCATTAGTGAGCTATGGCATATTGTTCTGTGGCAGCCATTGATTTGTGAGTGACTGTTTGCAATGTCAGCAGCACAAATGACAATCAATAGTTATTCCACGACTGCCTGACCTATTTAAAGTTGAATATGCATTGATATTCTGGGTATATCATGCATTGCACTTTTTAAAGGTAGTCAAGTGTTTTGTCCCCTTCCAGTTCTTAATACATTTTTTTTAACATCAGAAGGTGAAATATTTTTATTGGCAGTACCATGTTTGCCTTCTCTCTAAGGATAAAAAGAGATTGCAGAGCATAGTTATTTGCTTAACATGTCGCTATGTCATGCCTAGGAGATGTAGTTAATGGGTTGGATCATCAGTGATTTTGAATGTTATTCTTAGGTGACCAAATCACCACAACTTTCTTTTTTGTCAATTCAGCAGATATCATATGTAAAATCAGCTGAGTAATTAAGATTCCATTATGCATGTCTCTGTGGATGGTATTTTATTTTTAGAGGAAAGAAGATCATCTCTTTAGATTGGTTTTGATATGTTAGATATGTAATATTAGAATCAATATATTACTTGATGAGGAATTGAGTTGTTGTCTTTAGCTGAATACAGATATCTCAGGCTCGAGGAACACAAACTGAGCAATCTTTGGCAATCAGATGTCATTAGCTAAAATAATCAAGGGTTTAGGGAAAATAGGCATGATATACAAATGTTTTAAATTGTTTAGTTTTTGGTATGAATTTTCATGAGTAAAACAGAGGAAATGCATCATATCTAGAAATATAAGATAAACTAAAACTAGCACTGTGAAGGAGACATGAACTACAAGGTTCTGTAAAAGTATTGATGGAGTGGTTAATAAGGACATACATCACCAAACCAGTGTCCTTTTGAATAGGATGGTGTCTAGGTGTGTAATTACAAGAATCCTATAAAGTAAGAGAGGTTTTTTTTCAGGGTCAGTGAAAAAAGCAACCATAAATAACCAAGTGGCCCTTAGGTGCTGGTGGGGTGTAGTCCTATAAACCAGGCAGGAGTGCCAGGAAAGGAAGCGATATGCGTTGATGAAACCTTTTATGTTTTGGAGGTCTGTGACCTTATGACCTCCAGGGTGTGATCAAGACTCTGAGTTCTGCATGACCAGTCAGTAAGATTATGCATGGTTGTGCAGCTGAATATGAAAACCATTGATAAGATACCGGGCTGCTGACTGATTGCTACAAGGAGCAAAAGAACTGACTGATCTCAGGGATACTTGGCAGAGAAACGAGAATTAAAAAACCAGCAAAATGATACAGATGTCTGTGTGATACATGAAGAATTGTAATCTGTAGGCTCCCAGCTACACAGCTGATTGCTGTATGTTACACTCAGGTCTCATTTCTCAGGAATGCTGGTTTATGGAGTCAATAGATACTCTGTATATGAACTGCACTAAATTGTAATGGTGTCGGAAAAAAATCAGTTCCATAAATTTTAATGAGAGGGAGAGAGAGGAAGAGAGGGGGTTATGAACAGTGAACACAATGAATAAATCAGCATTGATCTGTAGCTTTCAGCAATCTTCAGCCATGTGGTTTAACTTCTGGCAGAACCCTGGCCATCAGAGGAGGAGCTGATGCATTATAATCAGATTACATTCACTGGTTACCCCATGTGTGGGAAAGTGAAAGTATTACCTGTACATACAGATAGAGCTGGGCACTGAAGTCTATATTTTATACATCAGTCAAACTGACAGGCTTAAGACGGACATGTGAAGTTAAAAATAAAAAAAAGTTTGTTTTGACAAGTAATTGACATTACAGCTGATGTATGCAAAACTTGACACAGTGTTCTAATTTTTCCTTACTTATCTTTTGATAATGTAATATTTTTACATGACTAATGACTTAAGTTGAATTAGTCTTTGGAATTTAGCCCCATGTGCAGTGATGTTGATGGTTTGTGGATGGGATATGCATTACTCAGTGCAGTGAATTACGGCTGTAAATGTCAGCTATTACACTGTTAGTCTGACAATGAGGACAAATAGTTGTGTTTTTATTGTACAGTAATAGCAGAAACATTTATCTTGGGAAAAGTCCCCCCTGTTGTAAATCAGATATTGGTAGAAGAATGTTTGATCAGACCTAATCTGTGTTTTTCTATGCAGACAGAGCTTTAAGATCAAATGAATACAAATGGGTTTTCAGTGTATACAGAGGAATATCTGTTGCACTATTTGTAGAGGGTCATGGCTGATCATTTAAATGTGTGCACACAGAGAAGATATATAGAACTGTTAAGATTATTCAACTGCACGTCGAAGGACAGACTGTAGGGAAATTCACCTGCCTGTGCATTGAATTCTCTGCCAAGAAATGACCTCATTTTGTGTGAATAAATAAGGACAAGTCAAAAGATTAAATCTATTTCCTAAACCCAATAGATGAAATGTTTCTTGAAAATTTTTCTTTTGTTATTTTCGTCTTCTTAAGTGAGTAAGAAAGCACTAGAATTTCTCTAAAAATAGACATAGTTTTATGGAATGTTTTTCAGCAGTACTTGAGATTTCACCAGCTTCAGTGAACAGTGATATATTGTGAGATGTGAGTGGTCCTTATCCCTCTCCAGTTAAATATGATGCTCTTGTGTCCTCTCTTTATGCTCATTGTAGTACACACTAATGACGCTATAGTTTTACAATTGTCCTCTCAGCGTGACAAAATGTCTACATGATTCCAGACAGGAAGCAGCTTCTAAACTAACTTTGTATAAAACCACATCTGTTACCAGCGGACTCTCTACACCCCCTTTCTCTTGAGTGTTCAGCTATACACATTTATTTGTCAGGTGAAGCCCACAAATACAGATAGACACAACACCTAGGTACAGTTTATATAGACTTTACCTACATGCTGACCTTTCTTGGTCAGTGTTAGGTTTCCTCAACTGATTACAGATAATAGTAGCATGGTTATCTTTGTGTTGTGGCAGAGTTCCTGTTATAGCTGATAAATCCTGTCCTGTCAGACTACAGGTGCTAATTACTTAATACCTAGTTATTGTACAGACACTTACCAAATGTCAGAATACCAAAAAACATTTATGTAGATTTCCTGTGTTTTGTTACCAAAGTACTTTTTCAAAGAAACTATGCTGCATAAATAACTTATTATTTTACAAGTACATTTGCATGTTTAAGCAAAAATAAAACCACTTGACAATGCAAGGAAAAAATTAAGAATGTTATTTCTTAATCAAATTGTATGCAATAATGCTGTATACAGTAGAGATATTCGATGCATTTAACTTATGTTTGTTGATTTCTTTGAACAGGTGCTACTCGAGATATTGGTTCTGCTCTGACAAGACTTTGTATGAGACACAAAAGTATAGAGTCCAAATTAAAGGCATTAACAGGGTAAGTCCTGGAGGTACTCAAAGTGTCCACTATAGGGACAAGAAGCTTGTATCATCCAGTAGGGAAAAACTTGGAGAAGATCAGACCCAAACACTCGTACAATTATGGCTGATCATTGTCTGTCACAATGTCACCTTTCTCACGCTTCAATCCAGTACAGGCAATTGTCTGCTTTGTAATTTGGTCCACCACTTTTTTATTCTTTACATATTCGCTTACATTTTGAGAGACAGTTTCTTATTGCACGATATTAAAATCCTGTTAACACTCTAGTCTCATATTCTTGAATTTACAGGCCTTCTTCCATGTTTGGTGGTCTTTTGATAATCTGCAATCCATCAAATATTCTTTCATTTTATGTGGGTCATAGAATGTCTAGCTCTAAAATCAAGTTTTAACCACTTATCAATCTTAATAAATGCATTTTAATGCATTCACTTGGAAAATGTTGACTTGACCTCACCACATTTCAGCTTTTAACCTAAATATGTTTGCAACTTTTGACAATTGTCAGACATTTCAAGCAGTGTAAACATTATTTGCAAAATCTTTGTTAGGCAGTTTTCAATAAATCGAGTCAAGCTTCTTAGAAATATAAAAAGACATTGCAATAAGTTATATTGTAATAATGGTCCTGTCTGACAATTTTTGAGGAAATCTCTTTCTTAATTAATTATTGATGAATTCTTGGTTGGAGTAATCTGACAATTTCTTTTGATCAGATTTTCTCCACAGGGCTTGGGGTGAAAAATACTAAATTATTCTCTTTGACTATGTAAATGTCTGTAAGTGTAGTCTCTACTGAGTGCTAGAATTGCATCCCTGTTATAAGAAAATGCACTGTCATTAGAGTGGGCAATATGTAGATGTATATGAATGGAAATAGTGATCAGACAGTTGGACCTGTCCATTAGTGAGTTTATTCAGTAGGTTTTATGACAGTGTCTGTTTTGGTGTTATTTTCACACCTGTGTGACATTGCCCTATCTGTTGCCGGTTTTACTGGGATAACTTGTAGGCTGTACAATACATCTGTAAGATTTACACCTCTTCACTCTCTGGCCCAATAAGCCTTGTAGGACCAGCACTGTAAACTGGACCCTTAATCTGTTTGATTCTGGTTTTATTGGAACATTATGGTCTGTTTATTGAAGGAATTCCCATTGTAGAGAGTTGGTGATAAAATCTGACATTGTTAGAGGTGATACAGTAGAATTGGCCAGGCCATTGTAGTATTTAATGTCTCAATAAGTGATATCCTGCAGGAAGTCTCCTCCAGCTAATGATTAGTTCTCTAATTAGTTCCTCATTACAAGAGCTCCATATCCTCTACATCCGGATAGCTCTACTATATATTTCACATATCTTAAGTTTAAATCTGAGCAAGCAAACCCATGTTACATCCAGAGATTAAATTTGTAACTAGTCAAAGGGTCAATATTCTTTTGCTAGTTTCATTCATCAATTTTATAATTTTATAAAAGTATTCCCTACTTTTTTCTTGTTCATAGCCTGAAATAGGACAATATGACATATGTACCAGTATATTTTTAGGATTTAACATGGTTAAGCTATAATAAATGACTTTTTAAGATGAATAACACATTTTCCTTCAAGGAAGTTTTTTTCCTTTTGTTGAAGAAACCCATTTTAGCTAATTGACTCTAAAATGAGTGATTTAAAAGTAATTGTAATCCAGAAATGTATGGAAGTCATGCAGTTATCTGTACATTTCCTGTTTATGTAACCATTTTATTGACAGAAAGCATTTTTCAATTCATAAGTTTTTTAGGAGAAGTGAATTACCGGTATATACATTCAAGTGAATTTTTAAAAAATGAACTTTCTTATTGAATCTTTATTGAATGTTATGCTATTTTAATGTAGTACTGATTTTTACAGGTCTATAATTGTTAATCTGGTTTCTGCTATTTTAATGCTGTCCTTTTTTTAACAGGTCTATTATTGATAATCTAGTCACTCCCGTACAGGAACATAGTGAGGAATGGAAGAAAACAGTAGCACAGCTAGACAAGGAGCATGCCAAAGGTTGGATCTTCACAAAGATAATCACAGCTCCATGTTTTAGTCTCCTCTCACCTTAATGTTTATATGTACATGCTTAGGAAAAAGTCTGTCCACTGAATAAGTTATTATATGTGATGTGTACAAGACCCAACAGCTGTAGATATTTACGATTTTGTAAACGGTTCTTTGCTGTGATGGTATTATGGGCAGTCTTTGAAAAGAATTGCTTACTTTTTTTTCAGAATATAAAAAAGCTCGTCAGGAGATCAAAAAAGCAGCTTCAGACACCATGAGACTTCAGAAGAAGGTCAAGAAAGGTCAGTGAGGTTCCTAAGGGGAGTGACATATTTTAGGGTGTATTCGACCACTTAGCACATTCTTGTGTGCAAGATGTCAGTTTTTCTATCTGTTAAAGGCACCTGCTAGGTTAAGATAAGATAGTTTACCCACATTCATCAAATGTTATTTTAAAAATGGAACATAATACAGGTGTATGTGGTTTGGTTGCACGGAGAATTGATATTGCTAACAAAAACTGCTCATAATTCATACTTGTTTTGTGTCCAGTGATGTTGCACGAGTATTGAATTTGAGCAAGAAAATGATCCTTTTTGATGGACAGAATCTCTTAGTCATGAGAATTACATCTGTCATATAAATGTATGCCCAAGTTCATTTGATTGAATCAGTTTCCAAAGAACCCAGGCTGAGATCATATTCCTAAATAACATGTAAATCAAAGCCAGTATTTTAATTCATGTGGAGTAGAGTTATAGGGTTACCCAGAGAAATCTTGTTGCTTTTGCCACATGATGTGGCTTTTAAAATTTTACCACATCCAATATCTTGGAAAGTGATAATAAATACAGATAAAAATAATAAATACTAGTATCACATTCGGAAAATTTTTTTTATCATTCACATAATCTGAAATATTGGCAGGATAGTGACCTAGCTATTTCAGTTTTTCTATATTTTGGAATGGATAAAGATTGCAAGTTTTCATAGCTCTAAATGTTCTGTGGGTGGAAATGAATAGACTAGACATTTTACATAGGCCATGGCGTGGTAGTACATGTAGTTATACAAGGGTTCTGAACAGCTAATAATGTATCATATATTTAAAGCACAGGAACTAGTGAACTTCCTGTAACTGAATTATTCAAATTTGTAAAGTTTCTGAGCATCTTGCAACTTACAGGGATCAAGAGAGGTTTATATATGTACAACCCCGCTCTGTCATTTACAATGTGAAGCTGTCGCAAGATCGGTAATTACATGCTTGTAGAAATGTCAAGGGTCACTGAAAAACTTACAGGAACTCTGCCCACAGAAACTCAGTGCTACAAGTGCTACTCAAAAGAAAAATTGATATGTCACATAAAGTGTTAATTCTTTTACCAATGCAGACTCCTATCTGTAATTTGTTAATCTTAAAGGTTGTTATCATGTCATTCAAATATATCGCTTAAGGAAAAGAAATATAATGGTACCAATGTAAAGAAAAATACAATTTCTTTAGCATTGATCTTGTAGTCTATGATTATAATGTAATATTCTTTAAAAAATCCTTTAAAATGATCTCCTTTTTATGAATTTGGTAGCTGGAGTATGGCCTTTCCATCACCAGGTGTAATAATTGGTGTTAGAAATCTCAGGCTTTTAGCTTCAGTATTTGATAGTTTCAGGTAAAGCCATGAAAGTGAAAAAAAGTTGCAAGTGTCACTGAACTTTTTAAATTGAATTTCCTAAAACGTCTACTAAAGTCAAAATATGTCGATAAAGGAGTTGTTTGCTGTGCAGAAATAGACCATGTGTATACTTTGTATGTTGAGAGGGATTGGGTTGTTAGTTTTAGGTGTAATGAGTTAATTTACCTGTTCAAAAAGTCCCTCAGGTGTAAAATATACAGGAGAAGATCTTTTCTGGTTCAGAGGAAGACAAAGTGATGTGGGTTGTAGATTTGTTTAATCCATTTAGGTAGATAAAATTAGAGGACATCGGTAAGATGAACCCACTTTCCTCTGGGCCAATGGAATCCACAGAGCTTAGTATTATCAAGTTGGTTAGATATGCAGGTCCAAATAACTTTGAATTTTGGGACAATCTTTAAAAGATATACAATTATTGCTATTCTGTACTGTTGGGTAGCTTATTCTATGTATATTTTGATATGCAGTAATTTCTGCACTAGTGCATGTACAAGCTATAAATATTTTGTGTTAGGTGCCAAGAAAAGTTTCACAAGTTATGTCTTCTTGTTTTAATAAGAGTCCTTGAATGACAAAGTTCTCATGAGGGCATTTAAATGTGAATAAAAATGATCATGTTTATTTAAGTTTAAAGGTTTGGTTTGACTGCATTGTACATGAAAGGGAGAAAGAACATGGATATTGAAAATGTGCAGAGGTGCAGCTAGGATATTGGGAGGTGCAGCCATAGGAAATAATAGGACATAGCGCATGCATGAATACATACATCATGATCAATCCTTGAAATATCAGTTTACATATTTCAATTAATAAAAGGGGCTCCCATTGGGAGAGTAGCTTGGCAAGGAATTATTATATAATTACAGCTGTGGAATTTGAGATTCTATGGTTTTTTTTTTTTAATCAGCTATCTCCTTTGACATGTTTGAGGTCTGAATTTGTTGAGACATTCTAGTATACTGATTGTCCTGTCAGCCCGCCTAACAATTGGGTATTGATGGAAGAGTAATTCTAACCTCCCCTGATTTTATCCAGTCTAGGTTGACCTGCTTTCTACAAAATATACTATCTCTATGCTGTATTTAAAAAAGTGCCCTTATTATAGCAGTGAGTGCAACACTGAAATATAAACATAGTCTGCATTTAAAAAGTCGTTCATTGAAAATTACACCTAGTAAATGATGGTGATTTCCATAATTTCCATGTTTGACATTTTAATGCTACTTTGATAAACTTTATGTTCAGTCTTTATATGTAATATTACAATTTTCATATAATCATTATAGTGGTAATGAGATGCACAATTCACCTGGGTGTTAATACTTTGCAATGTAAAATATAGGTGTGAAGTAAACAGATTAACAGTACTGACACCTGCATTTTACCTGTAAAAAATGATAACCTGTCCCCTTGAGTAGGTACACAGTGTGACTAAGTAAGATATTTATAAAGAAAAAAAGTCTCGTCTTGATTGATTATAGGCCAATACATCACAGTATCAGAACGTGTTATTGTAGAAATGGAAGGCTTATCATTAGATGAGAAAAACGGCCTGCTTTAACATTCCAGCAAAATGATCTAGGGGAAGAAAATTATTTTAAGTTTTTGTTCAAGATTTAAGGTTTCTTTGGGTTTAAATGTGGAATTGTTTATGATACATGATGTTATTATTTGTTAGTGATGAGGTATATCAAATTGATAATCTGAATCCTGTTTTCAACAGATTGTGAATATTAATGTAGAAATTGTTTTTCTAGGTAAAAATGAGATGCAGTTGAAGTTAGACAATGCTATGGAGGACGTGAACAATAAATACCAGGCTCTGGAGACAGCTGAGAAGAACGCCGTACGGACAGCTCTGATTGAGGAGCGCAGTCGATTCTGTTTCTTCATCAGCTACCTTAGGCCATTTGTTGTAAGAATTGGTTCAGGTTCTTTGCAAAAAAAACAAAAACAAAATCAGACTGTTAATAAATCAGGCTGTATAAACTTTAAGGAGGAACAGGACTTTTTGCTAAAAAATTCCTGTCAGTGAATTTTTTTCGTATTTTTTGTATTACTAATTTAATATGTAGAATCTACTTCATTTTAAAACGGTCCTGTCATGGGATTTCTTGACTTATTTAAAAGATATCGCCCCACAAATACCGCCCTGTTTAGAGTTTGTATGGAGTTTAGATACTTCATGTTTACGGGCCCATAACGGGGTTCATAATGCAAATTTTTACGCACAAACGATAAATGTGATAGATAACACTATATACTCAAAAATTTCAGAATATTCATAGTGTTTAAATTATCTGAAAGCAATTGTTTTAATTTTATATAGCATTTGGGTGGGATAATTTCTGCATTTTTCAAGGCAGCTTCAACGACAAAAACCTCATTTGGAAAAAATTCTATCAATAAATATTTCTAAATTTACGATTGAATGTCAGTCCTTTATCGTAATTATTTACTGCATAAATATCACAGGGTGAAGCTTACCTCAATATCGCACAGGACATCGTTGAATTAGACGTAAACATAATAAAAACGCTTCACCTTCGTATTTTCCGAGTGCGGGAAATCAATTGTGACGTCACACGAAAACATAAACATTCAAAATTATCTAAATAGAGAGAATCTCTGCTACTAAATACGAAAAAATATTAATTTTAAAAAAATCTGCTTCAGAAATTTATCACGATACATTGACTGTGACTTGTTTATTATGAAATAAAACTGATCATGACGGGTGTGTGTACTTGATCTCGCTGCACTGAGAATTCAAAAACTACGTCTATGACGTTACTGACGTCAAACTGCAGGGTAAAGAGAAACAAATGTGTGGATTGGGTAACTTCACAATATCTAAATGATGGCAAGATCTTTAAAAATTTTATTAATAATAATTTCTAAAATTAAATGTTTAAAAAACAGATTTAGAATTTAGAATAAAATTACACAAGAACTGTTGATTTTAACAACGTTTAACATGTATATCATCACTTATTATGACGTAATGTCTTTTTAGTCATGTGACATGTGTCCTGTCTCCCCTTAAACTCTTTAATTAAATTTTTTTGGTATTGATTACCAGTACATGTATATATATTTATCATAGATAAGTTTTTCAATGATTTCTAAGGTGTTAACCTATGAAATTTTGGCCTAGGTGAATGATATTTCTGTAATTCTTTTGTTTATCCTGATGACATATGGAGGTATAATTATATTAGAGAAGGTCATTGTCATTGATGATGTATGGCTGTAAACAGGAGGTATAATTTAGGACAGTTATACATTGTGATGGATTTGTAGGACCACGAGGTGGGCCTGCTAACGGAGGTCACTCACCTACAGGAGATAATGGACCACCTGTGTATGCAGTGTAATGACCCCCACACCCTCCCCCCAGCCAGCGAGCAGGTCATCATGGATCTGAAGGGATTCGATACCAACAGTGTGTGGAACTTCTCTCAAGTATGTCATAGGAGCCATGTATAAAAAATCATTTAATCATTACATCCAACTTTTACAGAACCAAAAATTCATCATGTGTCTCCTACCCATATATTTGTTCATGCTTATTTCTTCACCAAAATGTATATTCAAGAACAGCTTCATTTCAGGGCAGTGGTGCACTATTGTTCGAAGATGAAAATACAAGCAAACCAGCTGTCATTTGAACACTATCCTAATTCTATTTTTGCTTTCAGCATTCACCCCCGAGCTCTCCGAGTTCTATAGGATCGCGTAAATCCAGCATGTGCAGCATCAATAGTATTACCTCCTCTTCCAGCGGTTCCTTAAAATCACACTCCCCCAGTCACCTAAATCATCTCAGAAACTCCGCTCAGGTTAGTGCCGGTGTGAACTCTTCTGTACAGTAGTCACAGTGACAGGGGTCAGAGGTCATCAGGCTTCTAAATCACAAGACTAATGCATACACATTTATCTGTAATGCATAAATGGTCATTTTAACGTGATTCTCTTTTTGAAGCAAAATTTAGTAATCTTAAAACGAACAGACAATTTAGATTGAAAAGAAACGAATATCTGTTACAAAATGAATTTTTATTTATACAAGAATATAATTGGTCCTTAAAAAAGTTTCTGGAGAAATGACCTCTTACTTGTGATAGCTTGAATTCTTTGCTCTGACCCTGTCATTTAGTAAACCATTTGGTGGAGGTAAAAAGAATGTGTCAGGTACAGGGAGATAACTCCTTCAGTTTGCATGATCTTCCTATTTCTTCCCTATTCATACAATTATATTACATGTATATATTTTGCCAGTAGATTTAGTTTGCTTGATATTGTCCATCTGCATGTAACCCCTTGACCTCCCACATATAATCACCTGATGCATTAGAGGTAGAGATGTCCATTTAAATTGTGTGGAGCTGATTTGACCTATTTTCTTTCTATTCTCTCAGCTGCTCCCACGGTTTCGATTAGTAAGTGGTATTGTAACCCCTGCACCTCACTAACAGTGTTTCTGAGAATATCACAAAACTCCCAAAGTTTTCTTAACCCTATTTTGATGGAGTGTGCATGATTTGTTATGTGGAAATGAATGATTAAGATTTAATGTCTTATTGGGAAATTTTAATTTCTTTGCTAATTTGGCAATTCAGGCCGACTAGCTCTCTTTTCTGTGTGAAAAATGTTTTTTGGCAGTTTCAGAGTAAAGTAAAAATCAACCTGTGCTTAATTTGATTTGCCGTTGGTTTATTCTTCACATCTTTTTTCGGCTCTGGAGTTTGTAGTTTTGTCAGTTGCATGCTTTATTTTTATAATCAGACATTACCAATGGGTACAGCACGATTAACGAGCGTTTCTTCCCAGGACTCCGGATTTACGTCACAAGATACCCTGTTTCTGCGACCTGCTACTCCCACGTCATTAAAAATTCGCCAAAAGGTACAGTCCATTATTACCTGTGTAAAGCTTGGTCTTCTAACTCCAAATCATTGCATGTCACTAGCTGACCATTCAAAGCATATCATTTTAGACATTCAAATATACTTCAATCACACGAAGGATAAGGGAAAAAATATTAATTACTTTAGGGTTATTTTTATGCAATGTAAATGAAGTAATATTTGTTTGACACAATTAGAACATGTAGGTAGAAGTGATTAATGTGATAGCTAGGGTGATTGTGAGAATGTAGGAATAGGCAAGAGACCAGTAAACTTGTAACTGAGCTTGTATGTAAACTCTCTCCCAAGATAGTGTACTTGCAAGCATGCCATCTAAGGTGTCCTTTTGAATGGGACAAAATAGCTTCCATCATAGATGATGATTGATAAGCATGGGTTATCCATAAATTGTAAAGATCAAATTCACAGGAAGAATTGCTATGTTTAGGAGTTCTCTCTTTGTTGCCTTGACAAGATATGCTGTTGTAAATTTTTGTCATCTAACAAAATTTAGTTTTTGGCTAAATTATTTCAATTTTTGCTTAAGAAATCTGATTTGGAGTATATTTGTATTATATTTTTCATTTGCATTTATTTAAACTGCTTTAAATAAAAAACCTACTCTGTCCTAACTTGTATATATATGTCCAGCTTTCCTCCTCTTGACGCTGAGATTAATACCTTACAAGGTAGTGTTACTGGTGTTTTATGTCTGGTTGTTTAACACAGGATGCTGATCAGATCAGTACAGATAATGCGGACGCTGACTCCCAGGCCTCCACCCCCTCTGACAACACCCCCTCTGCCAGCTCCACCTGGACCAACTGGCCAAACCCACCCAACCCCAACACAAAAGCAGATGACAACCGACCACATACAATATCGTCTGCTTACGAAAAGACACACAATAGGCCAGCCTTATCAGCCAATCTGTTTGAGCCGCCTTCAGAAATGGCTGAGGAGGAAGATGTTCAGATGAGAAACAAGAAGAAAGAGAGGTCTAATTCCTCGTCCAGTACGGGGTCAGGACAGTACGCCAGACCACAGTCCGCGACCATTAATAAGATGCAACCAGTACTCCCACCTCTGGCTCCAAAACCAAAGTCTAAGGCAGTCCCGCCTCCAAAAGTCCCAACATTAGGTCTGTCTTACTGAATATTTGCTTGTTTAGCTCTCCAGTAAATGTTTCTGAGTTTGGGTTTTGCAAAATATAGAATGACTGCAAACAAATTTTGTTGTTTTCAAATGGGGGAATGGGTTTATTTTGATTTCAAAATCATGAACATATTATTATGTTTTTAAGAGCCAGTAAATATAAAAGAAAGCTTTGTATTTTTGACACAGGAGAAGCCCCAGCATATGTTAACATGAGTGACCTAGCAAACATGGCTGCTAACAAGAGGAGAGAATCCAGCACAGATGTAAGCCCACAATCTACCGAGGTATTTATGTGTTGTTTATCTTGCCATTCCCAGGCTGTTGTTACACATTATACAGTGTATACCTGGCTTTTTTGAAAAAGCATCTGAACTCAATAATTTCATGGGAACTGATAAATAATGCTTGAGAAAGTAAATTTGGAAATCTTACAATTTGACAATTTGCATGGTATTGATAATTGAATGATGAGGCACAATTTAGCTCTAAAGCCTATTTAACTGTCATGTGCTAAGCAGTTTGTATTATACTAAAATTTGTTTACAACTTAAGCTTGGAAATGAAAGTTTTTAAGTTCAGCACATAGCATGTAAAAGCCAAATTTATATTCCATTGTGTGTTACCTTTTATTTTTACCCATTTATATGTGTATTTTATTTACGTCCAATATTGTTATTCATCGTATAATGAAATTCTACAAGTTTCCAGCTTTGTCAAAAAAAAGCCTAAACGGACAAAACTAGAAACTCTTGCAGAAGTTTTAAGCTTCGAAGAAAAAAATCAGTGTGGAAAAATTATTCTTGGACTCAAGCTGCTTAACTTGTGTTTTAGATGTTGGAATTTTAAAATTGTAAACAAGGAATATAATTTTTCTGCTAACAGTAAACTTGTCAATTTAACATTTTTTAACAAAATTCTTATATCCTAACTGGAGCTTAAAACAAATCTTGCTTCACTACTGTATGTAATTTTTTTTCTGTGAACTTTTTGAACTTTCACTCTTTTCTGTGTAAACTATTAGCTCCCTATGGACCTGGTGGAAGCAATCCAACAGTTAGATAACGCTACCGCTGCCTTAAACAGCGAGTATGAACAAGAGGAAGAAAAACACAAAGCCAAGGCAAGGACTCTATATTATAAGTAGAAGGGTGTGGGCTATCTCAAGTTTTATTGCACTTCTGTATTGTAATGTGACCATGTGTTGTGAAATGGAAGTCTACATATCTATCTATCATTTATTTCAACTTTGTTTTGGTACATATATATGGAACATACAAACTTATCTTGATTATCTGCATACAGGATTGTGACCCAAAAAAAGTGAGACTTTGAAGTTCAGTATAGAAGAAAATTGAACTTGGACATTTGCTTGCATGTTATTTTTGCATGTTTTTTCTTTAAATTGAACAGTAATACAGTGAACTTGAATGGTCTGAAAAGCACATGAAAGTAGCAAGCAGTTTACCTGCATTTCAATAACTGGAATGTTTGCTGATAGACTGTAGATAATTTCTTTAACTTGTAAGAGTTCTACTCTGTATATTAGATGGACTCTGAGAGATACCATTGTAAAGTAAGATCCACAGAACACTTAAAAAAAACAAACACTGAGATTTGGAATGAAAGCACTCTTCTAACTTGGATTTTATCTTTTGTTTGGATTTTAATGTAAACAGAAGCAGCATTATTTTCCCTAAAATCAATAATACATTCTATTTTGATTTATATTATTTGGATATATAAGATATCTTTTCTGGAATTTGAATTTTAATATCTAGACAGAGAACACTAATTAACCAAGAGTTGAATTGCACCAATAGTAAATGATTTTAGTGTGTATGAAATGGCACTGCTTGTACTGAAATTCATTGCAGATATGGTTTTGCTAAGTATCTTCATGTTTGCAGATTCCTCAATAAACACCGATGATAGTGGTTGTGTTTTTTCCAGACCATGTAAAAAGATTTTCTTAATATTATATGTATGGAATAGAATCACTATAACAAAAATTCAACTCTTTTTGTCCTTAGTGTGTACAGATAATTAGTATGTGTTTGTAACCATTAAGTAATTTAATTCTATCTTTTCATACAGATGAAGAGGAACACGATAGAGCTGGCCAGAGCCATTCAGGAGCTGGAGGTTAGTACAGCTGCACTCGAGTCGACATATGAAGGGGACAGCAGCACCAGTCAACACTCGCTGCAGTGCTCCAGTGGTTACGGTACGATGAACAACACTCCCGCCAACTCACAGGACACCATAGCCATGGGAGGTCAGTCACGGTCTGTTGTATCAGTCATAGCTACTCTAAAGCTTACGAGATGTCAATATCTCCTGCACTCTGAATAAAACTATAATTCTTATATAAAGCTTTATTTTATGACTGTGCATTTTGATTTTTAAAATTTTTTATATAATAACATGGACTAGTTAACATGTTATGTTAAAATATGAAAGTTTTTGTCTGGAATGTATATTTTATTTCATAATCAGTGATTTACTTTTGCTGTTTATATCGTCGTATTCTCAGGAAGTCTTAAACGACGTAATGTACAGACTATCAGCATGTCGCCTGACTCTAAAAAGTCCTGTAAATATATGATTTTTTTATTGTGTTAATCACCTTTGTTTTGTTCTCATGCTGCATGGTTTGTTTATATTTTGTGCTGTGCTACTTAACTCAGGGAAACATCTTTAGTGTATCTGTTCAAAATGTTAATCAGATACCCTTCAGAATTTTTCTCTACATCTTTGTGTTTCCACTTTCTATTCAGTTTGCCTATTGAATGTGATTGCAGATTTTGATCATAATACAACAGAATGCATATCTGGCAATGAAAAATATTTCACCATCCCTCGTAATTCAGAAATAGGGAATATGTTCAGAGCTGAAATGCAGGCTAAGAGACCGGCCTCCACTGCAGGTGTGTTAGCCAGGGGTTTGTGTGTTCTACACAGCACTGTCATGATTGAACATGTACCCATTGTCTTAAAAAAAAATTATGCATGCACTTCTTCTATGTATATATACTCAGATTTTCTGTAAACTAATATAAAATGTAACTCTAATATTCTGAATGTAATTTCATTGCATATTCTTGTATTTGGACAAACATTAATTCAGATTCATAAGCATGCTTTTATATTGTCTTTTATTTCATTATTAATCTAGCAATGTGTTCCTACTGTTTGTAGGTATCCCCGTGTCGAGACAAACAGGTGCCCCCATTACAAGGAGGAGTTCAATGAACACCCCTAAACCACCCCCTCCAGTGAGACGATCCTCCTCAATAACCACAACCAACCCCCATACTCTACAAAAACTCAGAAACACGCCTCCAAGGCAGCTCCAGCAGCCCTCCCAGGGCCAGGAGCAGGACCCTCACCGTACCTCACATCATCGCCGTAGTAACAGTTCAGGGGGAGAACCAGCCTATGCTGAATTACAGACAATTCAAATGAGTATTCACGCTAGGCAACAGTTACACTATAATCAGCCAGAGGCAAGTCCCTACGCTTCAGTGGACACTCAGCACATTGCTTATTCAGCCCCTCCTACTCCCTCTCAACAAGGGAACAGGTCCATGCCACCTAGTGGACATTACCAGCCCCATGCTAATCAGGCACAATTAATGCAGAAGCTGAATGCCCAGTTCTCAGCATTGAATGCTGCATATCATCAAGAGGATGACAGCCTTCCCCCACCCCCACCAGAACTAGTCCAGCTTGACCCCGACCTGCCTCCCCCGCCCTCAGCCGCTGAGCTGGAGGAGATGGAAAAGGTATACAGTACCCCTGCGGTACAGCGTCCGCCCCCCGTGAACCCCAAACCTGTACATCAGGGAGCAGACCCCAGCAGTCTGAGGGCTTCTCTTGTGTCAGAACTGCGAGGACTACGTAAAATGTCCAGTAGTGAAAATGGTTCAGAGTGTTAGCAGATGATCAGGAGTGATTCGTATATGATGATATTTGCTGTCAGAGAATCTGACAGTTTGTAGTATTTCTTACTGTACATGTAAACTTCACAGGTACTAAACTTATATTTTATGTTCATCGCTGCTGCATGTACATTTGCTACTGTGTATTTTTTGAATAATTTTGTTTTAAATATTATTCATGGTTTTAATTTATTTTCACTTTAAAGTACTTTCCAACTGTAAAGAAGTCATTGTGATATGAAGGCAATTATCCTTGTTTTTCATTCCTGTACATACATATGTTTATTTCTGTAAATTGTGGTGCAATCACTGTCACTTTTGGTCACAGCTTCAATGCAGTTGGTTTGCATAATAAAGTTGGATCTGATTTTAAAGTTGCCTACAGTTTAGTTAATATCAGTCTTTTATCTTTTAGAATCTAAAAATTTCATGTGTGATACAGCCAATAAAACTTCTGTGCACAAATCATTGAATTTACTACAGAATTAAGTATTTTTTATGTTGTGTAAAATAGGACCTGCAGTCCTTTGCACTAGGAAAGCTGTGTTTTTGTTTTAAGTTCTTGTGTGCCAACAACTGTTGATACAGTGTTTAAAGACCATTTCATATACATTCATTGATCTTCCAGTTCAATATTTGTCAAGTGTAAATCATAAATCAGGGAGAAAATGTCATTGCTATATAGTAAGGTGTAACAGTGTAATGTGAGCATTAATTGTAAACTTGAGTTCTGTGTGTGTTATGTTTGATTTGTGAATCATCTCATCCAGTATCATTTGATTGGTGGATCATTCTATTCAGTATTGTGATTGGTGAAACATTTCATTCAATTATGTACAAATTCACATTCATTTCAATCATTGGTCACTTTTTGCCATTGTTCAATGATGCATAGTGCAATTTTTCATGTAGTGCAAGTTTTTTTTTTCTAGTATTAATTTTACTGTATGCTGCTATTGTTAATACTTTTAATGTCATTTGTATTCAAAACACAAACAGCTTTACTTGATCAGTAAGGGTTATATGCACTACATCTACTATTATTTATTTATTTTTTACCAACTCGCCCCTTTATTCTGTATTATTCAAATCAAGAGAAGAAAATGAAATCAAAATTTTGATTCAACACTGAAAGAGATTAATGTCTAATTTTAAATATATATCATTTTTCTTTTGAAATGGATATTTTCTACACACATTGTATAATTTTAACTACACTGACTACAAAGCAATAATTTTTCAAGTCCTTAATCCAGAAGCAGCAATACAATTGTTGACTAATCAGAATAAAGCTTGTATATTTTTATAATCGGTTCTAACAAGTCTGTGTTTTAAAACCAGTGGAACTGTATATTGCCGGTAGTTTGTGACGTACTGTTGTTAGTAAATGTATTACTAGCCAAAGGTAGGACAGTTTATGAAATGTTGTGCATATAACATGCTGGAAATAAAACAAACGTGTTATGAATTTATAGTTGAATTCTTTATCGTCTGGAAGACTAGTTTTCGGAAAAACAAAGGTAGGATACATTCATTCCATACTAAGTAAATTCTTTTGAACTATAAGTGATTGATTGTATATTGTTTAACATCCCTCTCAAGAATTTTTCACTCATAAGTGAAAGGGAAAAAACTTTTTGTACTTTTTGTAAAATGAAATCTGTATAGAATCAAATGATAATTTCCACAACTAGGAACAGGATGGGGGCCTAGTAATTTTGCAGTGAATGCAAATACTGTATACAGGGTTATTTTCGCCCTTTCAGAATTGCAAACAATTTTTGCCCCCTTTTAATTTCACTCAATCACAGTTTTGTTTAAGAAATTATACTTTTTTCTTTGAATTCACCCCGTCTAAAATTCGCTCAATTGTGTCTAGGGCGAAAATAACACGGGGACGAAAATTTCCCTGTGTACAGTACTGCTATGCCCCATCAGTTAATTTAGCTGTAAATATTGAACATTACAAAATCCTAATTTACCCTCTGACCCCTGAATTTTTTTTATGATTTTTTTCTTTAAAGGGGAGTGCTGCTGAGTTATGCCCCTTTCCCATTTTAAATTGCTTCCTTCAATTCCTATTAGGTTGAAGCAATGAAAAAGTAATACAACTTCATACAGAAGCAACTTAAAGGTGTCATGTATTCATTTGTCAATGGGAAAAGGTGACCCAGATGAATATTGTAGTCCATGGCCAAGTTTTATTAGAAAGTTTGATTTGTATGTTTCAGAGACTTGATCAAGCCAGCCTCGTAGAATGGGAAAGGAGGGGAGAGGGCTGTCTTTTTTTTCGAGTGTAGTTTTTTGCTGTGGTTTTGATATGTGAATTTTCGCATTGCTGTTTGCTCCCCTCTTCTTTCTCCAACACACAAACTTATTGTTGGTGTACCTGTGTGGGAGCACTGGAAAATTCCACAAGAGGCCCAAGGGCCACATCGCTCACCTGAGCACATCGACTAGGAAAAAGCACATATCAGATCAAAACTGAAAGTTTACTGGGGGGAGGGGGGGACGCTTGAATTTTAACCCCCCTGGGTGTCCTGATTTGAACAGAGTAGAATCTACACTACCTGAGGATGATTCCATATAAATAGAAAAATATCACTAATCATGGCTTTGAAGTACTTGAAAAGAAAATTTTAAAATGTTTCCCTATATATCCCTATGTAAAACTTTGGTCAGCCATTTTGGGCCCACCCTAGCCCCAGGGGTCATGATTTGAACAAGCTTGAATCTACACTAACTGAGGATGATTCCACATAAGTTTCATCTTTCCTGGCCCACTGGTTCTTGAGAAGAAGATTTTAAAAGGTTTTTCCTATATATCCCTATGTAAAAATTTGGTTGGGCATTTTGGCCCCACCCTAGCCCCGGGGGTCATGATTTGAACAAACTTGAATCTACACTACCTGAGGATGAGTTTCATCTTTCCTATTCCAGTGGTTCTTAAGAAGATTTTTAAAGATTTTCCTATATATTCCTATGTAAAACTTTGATCGGCCATTTTGGCCCCACCCTACCCCCGGGGGTCATGATTTGAACAAACATGAATCTACACTACCTGAGGATGATTCCACATGAAGATTTTAAAATATTTTTCTATATCTTTCCTATTCCAGTGGTTTTTGAGAAGATTTTTAAAGATTTTCCTATATATTCCTATGTAAAACTTTGGTCGGCCATTTTGGCCCCACCCTAGCCCCGGGGGTCATGATTTGAACAAATTTGAATCTACACTACCTGAGGATAATTTCATTTAAGTTTCATCTTTCCTGTCTCAATGGTTCTTAAGAAGAAGATTTTAAAAGATTTTTCCTATATATTTCTATGTAAAACTTTGGTCGGCCATTTTGGCCCCATCCTAGCCCCGGGGGTCATGATTTGAACAAACTTGAATCTACACTACCTGAGGATGATTCCACATGAGTTTCATCTTTCCTGGCCCAGTGGTTCTTGAGAAGAAGATGAAAATGTGAAAAGTTTACAACGACAACGACGACGACAACAACGGACAAATTTTGATCAGAAAAGCTCACTTGAGCCTTCGGCTCAGGTGAGCTAAAAATGTACAAAAAAGTTCGGCAAAGGTCCATCCCCAACCCCTACATTTGATTTCACAGTATTTCTAACAAGACACCAACTAAATATACTATAGACTTTTGTGGAAAGAGAAAAAAATGAAGATCTTCAGATTATTTCTTTAATTCTGGAGAGACTCGGATAGCAAACTGAATCATGATTCAATATTTTCCATGAACACAAGATACATGTATTATGTACAATTAAAATAATTAACAAACAAATCGGGCGCACGTGTCGATTACTTCATATGATGATTAGTTCAAAACCTTACAGATGATAAATTCTTATCAAAGTTCTAGCTATTTTGGTTCGAATCAACGTACTGATTTCTAGAGCGATTTATTACACGTTGAAAACACAATTTGAATTTTTTTCTTAACCCAAAGAATTGTGAAATTTTCAAGTAACTTTACAAATATTCACAGTATAATCTACAAAAAAAGTCTGACATTGGTTTTCATAATTTTGCTAAAACGAATCTTCACTCTTAACTTTCGCAACGATTTTAATTCTCGTAAGATTGGCAGCATTTTTCATGAAATGTACTAAGGTATAAGAACGTTCTCATCATTTGAATGAAAGCATCCCTCTGCTCAGAGGAAATTAAAAGCAAGACAAGGCGATCCCTTTGCACCAGCCAACAAAACTAAAAGGAATATTAAAAGTGTTCATTAAAATGTCAGTTTTTCAGGCTGCATGGTGAAAACAATGGTCACAGTGCGTGGAGACCGGAAACTGCCCCTGCCCCCGAAGTTAAAGCTGCCATTCAAGTTGACCTGAAAAGATTAAAAATTCTTTTAACAAGTAAACAACATGATATAAATAATAATTTTGTCAATCATAATGATATTAGAACTGAAATGAAATTTTTATACATAAGCATCTGTAAAAGGTACCTTTATTTTTTGAAGATGTTTACATCGGCGCTGGCGATAAATGGATCTGTTTATTTCTGTAGAACGTGTTGTTCAGATCTCGAATAACTTGCTCAGCATCCTCCATACAGCGGAAAGAAACCATGGCAGAGGTTCCTCCTGCATCGTTCCCAACCATAACTCTAACGGACTCTACAATAGGACTGTAACCTTGAACCAAGTTGTTGACTTCACGTATCGAAATAGTAAAAGGTAAACCTTTCATAAGCACTGGGAATCGTCTGCCCAGGTAGGGACCCGACGATGGGGGTGGTCCATGCGGAGAATGAGGCGGTCCATGCGGTGAATGAGGCGGCCCATGCGGTGGGCCATGTGGAGGACGCATGGGCGGATGTCCATGTGGTGGGGGTCCCTGAGGGGGTGGGCCACGGGGCGGAGGGCCTCCATGAGGCATGGGGCCACTTTTGGGTGGATGGGGTCCTCCGTGAGGCGGTGGTGGTCCTCGGGGTCCTGGAGGCCCGCCATGGGGACCCATACCGTGAGGCGGAGGGCCGTGCATAGGAGGATAATTTCCTCCTCGTGAAGGAGGTCGAATTTGTTTCAGGATATCCACCATTTCTGATTTTGGAATGGGTTTCACGCTTACTTCGTGATCACCTATTAACCTTTCTTGCATATTTAATGCTTTCTCGCATTCAGCATGGTTAGTGAACTCTACAAATGCTTCTCCTAGTGGCCTTCCATTTGAGTCATGCACTATTTGAATTCCTCGCTGTGCAATATCAATCCCATCAAAGAGTTTAGCGATGTCTTTAGCTACAACATGAGGTGGTAGTCCTTGAAGATGCACGCAATAAAGATTTGTAGTTATGCGATTTCTGTATTCACCATCCGGAGCTAAAATCCTGTTTGGTTCGACGTTTACAGGATTCGGCAGAAGAGGTTTTTTCTCCTGTTCATCGAGTTTTTTGTTTGCCATGACATCTTTCATACGCTCATGTAGAAGTTCCACTTCATGAAGACTTCCCGCCGTAATGCGGATAACACGAGAATTATACATTTTACCATCTAAGAGCAAAGCACTTTGAAAATCCGATAATGTTAACATCTCTACAAAAGCTGTGCCAGTGCATCTATTTTTTATATCATATTCAATGTGAATGCCTTCTCCATTCTTTGCTATTTCACATCCTTTAAAAAAGTCTACTACATCAAGTTTCTTTCCATTGATTCCAAGTCCTTTCATATGTATAATATATTGTGAAGTTCTTAAAGGTTGTTCCATCTTTGGACGTTTTATTTCTTCGCTTTCAGCATTCTCTTGTTTTGAAATCGGTTCGCAGTTTTCGAACTCTCTGAGATTACATTTTGTCACCTCAATTCGATTACCATCTGAAAAACGTTTTCCATTTTTATTAAGTCCTTCCCAGAAACTTCGTTGGTTTTGAAACTTTATAAACATAATTCCTGTTGCTTGACCTCTTTCATCCTTTTCACTCTTCATACCATCCCAGGGGATTTCGCATCCCGTAAAAAATTGCCTTATATCTCTAAAATTAACATGTAATGGGAAACCCTGTACTCTAACAGCAATGTCAGGATCAACGGGGAGCAAGGGTCGTTTAACACCTCGGGAATCTGTATCTTCCGGTAGTTTAATCTGTGCAAGAATACTTGGTTCAGTTTTCGTTTGGGTATTCGCCTCAGGCGTTTTAACCGCTGTTTTCTGGGTGGTGTTAGAAGAACTTCGCTGACTGTCAGATTCCTTTTTTTCTACATCGTCTTTAGAACGAGGTATATCTCTTCCGAACTGGTCGCGTCCTTTGCTGTCCCGCCTGTCTTTTGTTCGATCCCTATCTCTTCGGTCGCGATCTCTATCACGATCGTTTCTTTCATCTCTGCGATCTCTACGATCACGATCATCATCCCGGCGTCTGTCTCGATCTCTATCGTACCTGTCACGATCACGAGATCGTTCTCTATCTTTATCCCGGTCTCTATCTCTTTCACGACCCCGATCTCTGTCCCTGTCTCTATTTTGACTATATCTGTCGCGTGAATCTCTAGAATCTCTGTTATCGCGCGATTCTCTGTCACGATTATCCCGACTATCACGGCTGTCCTTATCTCGTGTATCCCGACGATCATCGGTTGACTTTAGTCGGGAATCTGTGTCGGATCTCTTGTTGTCTGTACTGTCTCGTAATCGATCTTTAGGATCCCTCATATCAGCGTCAATTGCAACTTCTGGTTTCTTAGATGACTCTGCCACGCGGTGTCCTTCACGTGCATTCATGGCAAAACGGTTATCGTGATCCAAAAGAGATGGAATATTATCTGGAAATCCTCGATCATTCGGATTAACTCTTGCAACAGGTGGAAGTCGGCGGTCTTGATCCACAGGAGGACGTTCAAAGTGATCGAGCAGTGGCCTTGGTCCTTGATCAGGTCCTCCTGGTCTTTGTAATGGTCTAGGTCCTCGCTGTTCCATTCCTCGTGGCCCAAATCTAGGCATGGGAGGGCCTCTTCTCTCTGGAAAACCACCATCACCTTCAAAATGAGGTCTCAATCCTGGTCTAAATGGTGGGGGCATTCTAGGTCCTCCTGGTCCACTAAAAGGTGGATAATTTTCAATCTTTCCATCAAGTCTTTTTAAAGGGGGCCCTGGTCCTAGAAGCCCATCGCCTGCTTGTGCATCACTGTCGGGGTGATCCATTTCTTTATCAAATGGTGGTCTTCCGTGAGGAGGGGTTCTATACCTGTCATCGTCTCTTGCTAATGGAGGAGATCCAACATCGTCAAAACGCGACTCTCTGTCTCCAAGTTGGGGATCCCTGTTAAAAATAGGTCTCTGATTTGGGTGAAATCTTTCCCTGTTTCCTTCAAATAGTTGCCTTGGATCTTGGGATCTGTCAAATGGTGGTCTTGAGTCAGGTCTATCAAACGGTGGCCTTGAGTTCGGGGGTCTTTCAAATGGAGGCCTAGACTCTGATAGCCTATCAAATGGAGGTCTGGACTCCGATGGCCTATCAAATGGCGGCCTGGACTCGGATGGCCTATCATATGGTGGTCTTGAATCAGGCGGCCTGTCAAAGGGAGGTCTCGAATCAGTAGGTCTATCAAAAGGATGTGCAGAATCAATGGGTCTATCAAATGGTTTGTCTCCAGATTGAAATTCATCATACGGGGGTCTACGATCAGGCGGCGGTCTATCAAACCGTCTATTATCGTCCCTATAATTTTCGTCTGGGTGCTGATTAGGTTGCTGTTCAAATCGTGATTTACGTGGCGGCGGTTCATCGGGTCCACTGCGTCTGTCAAATGGTCCTCTATTGTCAGAATTCCAGTCATATCTGTTTTGTTGACTCGGACCTGTGTCCAGAGGAGGTCTATCAGGGAAAGGAGGTTGTCTATTAAATGGAAAAGCGCGGTTGTCATCTCGAGTAAAAGGCAAACTTTGGTCACTATTTCTATCAAAACTGTCTCTTCCTTCAGGAGGAAACGATCTTTGATCACCATCTCTTGGTTCGGAATTTCTAAAATTCCCCTGGCTAGGGTAGTAGGGATCTCTGCCTTCTCTGGCACCTTGGTTAGGGAAGTCTTGCGAGTTTTCATTTGATCTCCCATCGTAAGGATCTCTGTTGAAATTATTTTCACTCGGTGGAGCATTTCCTCTGTATTGTGGCTTGTCATAGCCGTCTCTGTACTGTTCATACTGCCCTCTGGAATATGATTCTCTGTTGTACGGATCAGGCGGATAACTATTTGAATATCTATCCTCTGAGAATGATGTCAATGAGTCATTTGAGGTCTGCGAGGAACTTAAGAAATGTGACGATTTTTGATCATCTACGCTTGTTGGTTTACTGAGAATATTTGGATTCAATAACCCTGACTTGGAAAGATCGGAAATTAACTTCTGTGGATCAAACTGCAGATTTGACTCTTTATTCCCTTCATTTCGCGTATCACCAATCAGGGCACTTCTCTGTGCCGGGTTACGCTTTTCAAACTCGGTCAGTGGTCTTGGTGTAGCGTTGTCAGAATGAAAAGAACTCTGAGACGAACTGTCCACAGGTGGTCGAACTCCCGTCTGTCCATATGCAGCCCCAAAGCGATCGTGCTCAGAACTGGCAGTGTCTTGTTTTTCGGTCGATCCTTGTCTAGGGTATCCGTATCCCTGACTTGGGTCCATCTGCTGTGGCGGATACTGATAGTTCTGGGATGAAGCCACTGATGCCGGGGGTAGCTGGCTTTGTTGGGGAGGATATGACGGCTCTGAAGACGCAGGCGGATACTGAGACTGGTATGGCGGATCATTTGTACTCTGACCCCTTGCCTCCGCAATGACTTGTTGCATTTGTGTTTTGCTACTAAGATATAACATAATCTGGCTACCATCAATACTTCCCAGGTTCAACATCATAGCTTGCCTTGCATCCTCATCTGTGCTGAATGCAATGAACGCATCTCCTTTCTCTCCGCCAATGATGTGAACGCCCCCTGGCGGAATATTCAGACCTTTGAAGAATTGTCGTATGCTGGAGGCACTTGAAGACCAAGGGAGACCTTGGAGGCGTATGATGACCGACATGTTGTAATCCTGGAAGGATAAAAAGTTTGTTCACTGCCAATAAACATTAATAAAAGCTCATGTTTCTACAAACGAGTAAATCATAGATCCCCCTCCCCTCTAAATCTCGTAAAACAAACAAGTTACTGTAGATTGGCAAATAATTACGATGGTTTTAATTTCACCAAGTTCGGAATTTGTCATTTTTCCGCGAAATTAAACCCATCGTGAATGCTATCATTGTTTTTTTCAAATCGGTGAAATGCGTATACGTAATCAAAATTAATGTCTTGTTGCGTGAAATTAAAACCATCGCGAGTGGTACTTTTTAAGAAATCGTGAAATTTTAACACCGTGGAATTAAAATGACTTACAGTATTTTATTAAAATGATAATTGATAACTGAACTAACTCACCAATACACCCAAAAAATTATTTTCTTCTTAATCATACAAATCAATATTTCCTTAGACTTATGATATAAACACATACAATATAATAGATTTTGTTTGTATGTCAGATTTTCTGCGAAAATAATGCAAAACACGTTGTTACTTATTATTTGCATAGTCATATATTAGTGGTTTTCCTAGTGTTTTATCTTTGTAAACTAAACGACAAAATTAATGTTATGCGATTTATTTATCTACAAATTTGTTTTGCGATCTTCAAGTCGAATTACTTAATGCGAAATATCTCATACCCCCCCCCCCCCCCCCCGCCCCACCCCTGTTCTTGTTTAAGGGTTTGGACGGTATGAATCAACAAATAGAGACATAGACCCCTCCCAACAATAGAAAAACATTGTTAATTAACTGCCCCTTAACGTTACTGTTTTGTCTATTCTTTTTATAATCTTATTTTGGGTTAAGGAATTTCTGTTCGACTGTAATCCCCTATCAATATTTCAACCGTTCTGAAGCAGAAGAGGTTTAAAAGGGCAAGCATTGGAGAAAGAGTTCATGTTTTTAAATTTATTTTATTGTACTTGAAGGGAGTAATTTCTGTAAATTTTTTAATTCATTTGCAGAATTTTTTCTTCAAAATTTGAAGTTTTGAATAGTTAAGTACATAATGTAAACGAGAATAAATGACGTCTAGCTGCATATTTATTCTGATTTATCCTTAGTGAAGCAATATTCACTTTCTGGTAAAACATTCGTAATTTTGTATTGATTAAAATGTGGATAGTTAAAAAATTAATTACACAGTTACTAAGAGATTTTTTGAATGGCGTATGACCATCAACTCCGCATAGGAACATGGATGAAATTCACAGAATCTCTTTCACAGTGTCATTGCGCAACTTTTGATTTTGTATTCGGACGTCACATGATTGGGTTTTCTCACATAGCAAAACATGGAGACTGTTGTTCTTTCTCTATTATCAGGGGGTACCCATTTCTTCTTCGCTATCATTGAATAAAATTAATGATTCCTTTACAGAATTTTTATTATGAGAGCCTTTAATTATGGGGTGAGGAATGTGGCGGCCAAACGGAACTGATCGCCGGTGATCATAAAGCTCACATGGTAGAGCTCCTGAATGGGATTCAGGGGGCTCAAATTCGAAACCCGGCCCCAGGATCATGAAACATCTTAAGCTTACGTCAAAATATTCATGTTGTACTAGAATTTTGATTAGGTCAAATAGACAAAAATTAAAATATTTTTTTAATATTGTTTTACAAAAGAGTTGTTTTCTGCAAAATTAGAGATTCGTTCAATAATTAATAAATATTTTACAGATGATTAAAAAATTGACTTAAGTCTAAGTCTGTTTCATGATCCTGGGGCCTGGTCTGGTGTTCTGCATTTTTCCCCTCTCCCGTTACAGAAGAATTTAATTATTTTTCAAAAAGAAATACGTCTAGACATGAATGCCCAGGCCAGTATTCATTAGTTAAACAATTTTATTTTTTTTTAATTGTGTAGTTATTGATGAAAATAGTACAATTCCCAGTTACCCTTGGACTTTCAGTAAGGAGTGGCATTCTCGGCGCTACGTAATAAGCGTCTCTCGAATAGATGCTCATTGGTTAAGAAATTAATAACATCAGGAACTTTAAATTGTCAATGACAACGATGAGACGACGTAAGCGCTGTCTCTTTGCCGTGGGAGATATTGGTTAATTCCTACCCTCTTTGACATTATCCGTATTTCTATCCCATTTATACCGGTATTTCAACAGTGAATGAAAGCTGTGTCAATTTCAGACGGTAATTATGTAACGTCGAGAATGCCGTGCGTCTTACTGAAAGTCCAAGGTTAACTGAGAATTGTACTACCTTGAATAGTTTCTGAGATGTTTCTTTGGAAATAAGCTAAATATAAATTTGAGAAAAGTGAGGTTAGCTTAAAAGTAAATTTGTTGATAAGATGTTTGATAAATATCTTGAATTGTATCTTTGAACGAAATTGAAGTCATGGTCAAAGGAAAGGTCAAGGTAAAAAAAAAATGATGCAGTTGAACAGCTTTTAATTTATATGTACATGTATTAGCATGTGAAGTTTGCTTAAAAAATAATTCTTGTCTTTTTAAACGCGAGTTGAACGTAAAACGCATGGCGGAGCCAAAAAAAGTCAAAAGTGTGTCAATGTCAAATTTAACATGAACACCTAAAGCATGGTTATGGGGTTGTGGGCATGGTGTGAAGATTTTTGCCCCTTGTTTCTTTCTTGCTACAGAAGTGGTAGAAAAAGAATACCACAAATCAAATTCAGAAGTTCGACATAATTACGTCACTGGTCAAGTTGTGAAGATAATACTAGTATGTCGAGGACATATCCAACGTAATTTTGAACTTTTTCCTTAAATTTTCTGTACAATTAAAGAGTCCTAATAAATGAAAGAGCTTTGAACAAGTTTTATCAAGCTTTATTAAAACATATACTTCGTTGAAATACCAGTTAAAACAGTATGTTTGATATTTTTCTTTAAAAGGAACAGCTAGGGCTCTTCATAACTTTATATCCGTTCATTACACTTGGTTATGTTTGCTGATTGTTTATTTTTTTCATCTGAAAGTACTAAGAAATACATTTCAGAAAATTAAAAAAAGTTATCAGTAGGCACGGTGGGTTGTAAGATTTTTTGTATCCAAGTGGATGTTGATAAGAGAAACATCCGTACTGATTTGAGGATTGAAAGGTTGAACAACTGTATATTTTTTCAAAAGTGTGCTGGTCAGAAAATCAGTCTCTACTTAGTTTGACGATGCAAGGGAAACGGATCAATCCTTTTGTGTCCTCCACTTTCGCAAACGTGAAGAGACATTAAATCTCATTCGTTGTCTGTCATTAAATTTAAGGAAACAACTTTAAAAAAACAACTTATTTTCTAAAACAGGTGGCCCGTAAGTACTCCGAAGCTTTGGTCAGGTTTTTTTTTTCCAGATTCCCCCCTTTATAATACCTATCGTAGCCCCGACCTACCCTCGGGGATCATGATTTGAACAAATTAGAATCTAATCAACCCCAGGATGATTCAACTTTAGTTTCACCTTTTCTCGGCCAGTTGTTCTTGAGAAGAAGGGTTTAAAAAGATTTTCCCTATATATTTCAATGTAAAACTTGGATTCCATATTGTGGTCCCGTCCTCCCACCGGGGGTCATGAATTTAACAATTTAGAATTTACTTTACCCAGGATGCTTTAACATAAGTTTCAGCTTTTCTGGCTCAGTGGTAAGTAAGAAGATTTTTCCCTTTAAATTTCAATGTAAAACTTGGATTCCCTATTGTGGCCTCGCCCTATCCCCCGGGGGTCATGATTTTAACAATTTAGAATCTACACTACCTAAGAATGCTTCCACATAAGTTTCAGCTTTTCTGGCTCAGTGGTTCTTGAGAAGATCTTTTTTTTTAATTCTCATATATTCCAATGTTAAACTTAATTCCCTATTGTGGCCCCGTCCTACCCCCGGGGACCATGATTTTAAGAATTTAGAATCTACAGTACCATAGGATGCTTCCACCATAGCTTTTCTTGTCTAGTCGTTCTTGAGAAGATGATTTTTAAAGATTTTTCTTATGTATTTAAATGTAAAACTTGGATTCCTATTGTTGTTTTTTCATGACTATGTCCCCTAGTAAAGGGACTTGACCCTTCATATTTACAATTTAAACTCCCCTTTACCCAAGGATGCTTTGTACCAAGTTTGATTTTGATTTTGGCCCAGTGGTTCTTGAGAAGAAGTTGAATAATTTTTTCTAGGAGTTTGTCATTGAAAAGCTTACATGTTTACTCACAAAAAATTGAGGTACCTTACAGGCATTTCTGACAGATACAGACGGACTTTTATAATCCTTTGGGAAAAAAATAATTTTCCAATTTCAAATGTTTATGTGTTTGGATTCTTTAAAAACGTATAGAAACTGGTTTCGAAATCAGAATTTTATTAAAATTTAGAATATATTGCATCAAATAATTTACAGATATATAATACAGATTTTGAGGAATTTTGTACAAAATTAATAGTTTCTCTCGACTCTTCATGATACCGATATTCGAGTCTGTTTGAATTTCAAAGCCAATTCAGTAATTCAGTACTAGTAAATAGAGTGGAAAAAAGTCTAACAGGCCCGGGGTCTATATTGGGGGGGGGGGGGGGGGGGGGGGGGGGGTCCTGTCCTCAAGCACCTGTGCTTCGATCCACTATATATGTACTTAATTCACAAAGGGTTATTGCAACACGTGTTGCTTGAGATTTTCAAAAGATGCCAATAAAACTGGACGTTTATAAATTTGCTTTACACCTGTTTTTATATCTCTTTCGTTTTGTAGCTGTTTAATATACTAGCGGTAAAAATTTATTGAATAAACACCTAAACTTAAATCTGCCAAACCATGCATGTCCATTACTGTCTGTCCTTTTCTATTTACAGGCCGTTTTACTAAAACGAAAGTAGTCAGAAATTTTATATACCAATTATACAAAGCGAGTAGAATCCTGCAATAGATTTAAGGAATCACTGTCTATATAGTTAGAATAGTATGTTAGGACATCAACGATAGTGGGAAACGTGGGA